TTGTCTCCACGGGTGGAGGTGGGCGTGGGGCGGTGGTGAAGTGGAGAACACATGCCCCACCTAAAAAGAGGGGACAGTCCCTTCCCAGCTTCAGCCAGGTATTGCCTGTGTAAATGTTGCCACAATTTCTGAGTTTTTAAGAGAATCCAAAAATCTGGATTTTACATGTGAATCTCCCAATTGTTAGATGTTGGCAACTTATTCGAGTTTTAAAATGTGAGCCAATTAATTTTTTAAAAACGAGCTGTGACTCAAACAAAACACATCTTTTTTTTAATTTTTGAAATTTTTAATTTCTTTCTTTTTTTTTTTTTCCACTTAACAACAGGGGTGTATTCTGAGAAAACAAAACACATCCGTGGGCCACATAAAACCCACAGGCTGCATATCTGTGGACTACAGAGAATAGAAAGTGTGGGGGCTTTGGAGACAGACGGGGGCTGAAATATCAACTCTGCCACTCTTTAGATGTGTGTCTATGGGCAAGTCACATAACCTTTCTGATTTCCTCATCTATAAAACAGAGATAATAATATTTACCTTACTGAATTACAATGCGATAGGAGATCATATACATAAAGTGACTGGCACACAGCAGTTCCCTAACTGGCATCTGATTATTACTCAATCAGCACTATTGACACATCTATAAAAAGAATATTTACACGGTCAACACAGGAAAACATGCTACAGAACCACCACGAAGGAAGGAGAGCGCAAGCCTGGCTCACAGTGCTGCCACTGGCACTTCTGTCCCCAGGGAGCAATTCTCAGTGGTGGCTTCCCCTGTGCCTGGAGGAAACAGCCCCCCAGACCATCCTCCTTCCTTTGGCTCCGATTCCTGGCTCATCTAGCACCTTTCCTGATTAGTACTTCCATTTTCCACGTCCCCGGGACTGGGGATGGGCAGCTCGAGATGAAGAATGTGGCCATTACTGTCTTGCACTGCAGTCTTGCTTGAGTTTCGTTCTCTGGTGCACTAAGGAAATCCAGGTGCTCCAGGCCTTTGTAGCTGAGGTTCTGAGCCTGGGACTGGAGGCAGGTCTTGGCCAGAAGACATCCATCCTGAGACCAATCGGAACCCCTGGACATTACCCTCAGTGTCACCCCCAAACTGTGTCAGTAATGAGGAGCTCCTGCAGGGTCTCCCAGAGATCAAGAAGCCTGGGCCACAACCCCTATTTGAGGATCCAGACAAATTTAAAACGAAGACTTGCCAGGACAGGTTTCTATAGCATACTTTATGAAATATTTATTTATTTTAGAGACAGTCTCTGTCACCCAGGCTGGAGTGCAGTCGTATGATCATAGCTCACTGCAGCCTCAAACTCCTGGGCTCAAGCGATCCTCCCACCTCAGCCCACTGAGTAGCTGGGACTACAGGTGTGCACCACCACAGCTGGCTATTTTTTTAATTCTTTGAAGTGATAGGGTCTTGCTATGTTGCCCAGGCTGGTCTCAAACTCCTGGGCTCAAGTGATCCTCCTGCCTTGGCCTCTCAAAGTGCTAGGATTACAGGCATGAGCTATTGTACCAGCCAGAAAAGAAAATCATCTTCTTTTTTTTTGAGACAGAGTCTCACTCTGTTGCCTGGGCTAGAGTGAGTGCTATGGCGTCAGCCTAGCTCACAGCAACCTCAAACTCCCGGGCTCAAGCAATCCTTCTGCCTCAGCCTCCCAAGTAGCTAGGACTACAGGCATGCGCCACAATGCCCGGCTAATTTTTTCTATATATTTTTAGCCGTCCAAGTAATTTCTTTCTATTTTTAGTAGAGACGAGGGTCTCGCTCTTGCTCAGTCTGGTCTCAAACTCCTGAGCTCAAACAATCCACCCGCTTTGGCCTCCCACTCCCAGAGTGCTAGGATTAAGGCGTGAGCCACCGCTCCTGGCCTGGTTTTAATTTCCGATGGAATTAAATCTACAGATCTTTTGTGATTGCTGCTTCTTTCCTCTGGGAGTTTCAAAGGGCAGGCCCTGTTAACTCAGTCAGTGTTAGTCATCTTTCCCTCTGGACCTCAGTTTCCCTGTCTTTTCCAACGGGCCCCAACCTTTTTGGCACCAGGGACCAGTTCCATGGAAGACAATTTTTCCATGGCCAGGGTGGGGGGATAGGTGGAGCTCAGGCGGTGATGCGAGCTGTGGGGTGCGGAGCAGCTATAAACACAGAGGAAGCTTCGCTGCCTGCCTGTACTCACCTCTTGCTGTGCCCTCCTCACACTAAGTTTCATGGAAGACAATTTTCCACAGACTGGGGTGGGAATGGGGAGGAGCAGGGGTGCACTGAGGCTCTTTGGCCTGGTCCCTAACAAGCCACAGACAGTACCCATCCTTGGCCGGGTGCTTGGAGACTGCAGATTTAAATGGTTGGATAGGCAGAGATGTAATTTCTCAGCTTCCCCCTAGGAAGGAAGGTTCTTAGACTTAGACTCTGGACTCCATGGTGCAGCTCGATACTGGCAACCCTCTCCACGTGCTCCGGGGCTCCAGCTGGGGAATCTCTTCTCTTTGAGAACAAGAGGAGTTCATTTATTCATTCAAGTCACATCTTCGGAGCATCTGCCACGTGCCAGGAACAATTCTAGGTGCCGGAGAGACAGCAGAGACGAAAACACAGCCCTTGCCATCATGACCTCTAGTAAAGGGAGACAACAAAGAAACCAGAAAGTCGTAAGAATTCAGATGGTGATGAATATCATGGAAAAACACAAAACAGGATAAAAGGTTAGGGAGGGTCAGGAGATGGGTGAGGCGAGTTACTATTATATTATAGGAGGGTCAGGTGACATTTTAGCTGAGACCTGAAGGAAGTGGAGAGCCACTCAGGTGGATATTTGCAAGAAGAGCATTCTGGGTAGAGGGAACAACACGTACAAAGACCCTGAGGCAGGAGCCTGCTGGAAAAATTGGAAGGGGACCCTGGAGGCCAGCGTGGCTGGGGCAAAAGGGAGTGAAGGAGATGGAGTAGGGGAGGGGGGCAGAGAAGGAACAGATGGCCTTAGGGTCCTCATAGTGATTTGGCTTTCACTCAGTGAAATGGAAACCACTGGAGGGTTTCAAGAAGAGCAGTGACCTGATCATGGCTGTTTTCCAGTTAGAAGAGGCCTCTAGGCTGGGCGCGGTGGCTCACGCCTGTAATCCTAGCACTCTGGGAGGATGAGGCAGGAGGACTGCTTGAGGTCAGGAGTTTGAGACCAGCCTGAACATGAGCAAGACCCCATCTCTACTAAAAAATAGAAAAATCAGCCGGGTGGGTGGTGTGCGCTTATAATCCCAGCTACTCAGGTGGCTGAGGCAGGAGAATCGCTTGAGCCCAGGAGTTTGAGGTTGCTGTGAGCTAGGCTGATGCCACGGCACTCTAGCCCAGGTGACAGCAAGACTTGGTCTCAAAATATATATATATATATATTAAAATTTAATAAAATAGAAGAGGCCTTTAGTGGGCACTACAGGCTCTGGTTCTGGAATGAGCCACACCCTGTCCTATTCCTCACGTAGGGACCTTGGCCTCTCCTAACCTTAGATCCTTATCTACAAAATAACTCCTAGGTTTCAGCTGGGCACCCCTTGCTCACTGCAGCTGACCTAACTGGGCCAAGCTTTTGTGTAAGTGGTGGGGAGGGGAGGAGCTCAAATGAATGCTTAATGTGGAATTTCCTCTTTCTAGGAAAACCACAGGTAGGGGGTGACTGGGGGAAGGGGACATCATTCAACCACTAGTATCTAGCCAGCACTTACCTATTCTGAGCCTCGAACTCTTTCTGGCTCAGGGGAGGTGGGGAATGGGCAATAAGCCCCAACAAGCCCAGGCAGAGTCATGGTGGCCAGAAATGAAGCCCCTCACCACCCCAAGAGTCAGGCCTGTGGGTCTTGGCACAGGAAATCCACTCTGCTGCCCTGTTCTCAGTGAGGGCAGCCTTTCCCAATTCCGCTCCCCCCACCCCCGTGAGGCCAGGCCCCTAACTAGCACACTTGGAGCCCTGTGATCCTCTCCTTTAAAGCATTTTTCGCAGTTGGAACTTTACATAGATTAGTAAGATTCTTTGATTATCTCTCCCGCACCATTCTAGAAACGACTAGGTTTGGTGAGGCCTTTGTCCATTTCCTTCACTGTTGTGGTCCCAGACCCCCCTCCCCAGCACAGTGCCTGGCATATAAGGGGCACTCAGTAAATGCGTGGAATGAGTGAATGGATGAATGATAGGAGAGTAAGGCAAGTAATGCTGTTCCCTTTTACAGCCTATAAAACATGTCCAGACCAGAAGTGTGCGCTGCTCAGCAGCAGAGCAGGTGACTGCCTTCTGGCCTAATTCCTACAGTGGGAGCACCCAAGAGCATAGGGCACACCCAAGGGCCTCCCAGACCCTCCACCATCTTTTCCTCCCTATCTGCTTCTCTAAGGGAACTGCAGAATCAGACCCTGGCCCCAGAAACAAAACTAGTTTCCCAGGGAAGGAACTTAGGGCAGAAGTGGGCAAGTGACAGCCTGTCAGTAACAATAATAGTACTCTCAATGTACCGGACACTTTTTATTTTTTCTTTAAGGAGTGGGGGACAAAGTTTGTCCCCCAGTCTGGAGTGCAGTGGCCTGATCATAGCTCACTGTAGCCTCAAACTTCCAGGCCCTAATCAACCTCCTGCCTCAGCCTCCCAAGTAGCTGGTACTACAGGTATGTGCCACCACTGTCAGCTAATTTTTCTATTTTCTTGTAGAGACTAGACTTGCTATGTTGCTCAGGCTGGTCTGGAACTCCTGGCCTCAAGCGATCCTCTCTCTGGGCCTCCCAAAGTACTGGGATTACACAAGAGCCACCGCACTTGGCCTCGGACAGTTTTTCCTCAACTCTTTGAGGCAAGTTCTGTTAGCAACCCCATTTTCCAGATGAAGAAACAGGAACGGCGAAGTTAGTGGCATGCCCAAGATAGTGGCAGAGCCCAGGTGTTCCCAGCCAGGCAGCTGGGTTCAGCCTGTACTCTTACCCATTCCGAGTTGTCTCGGTTACATCAGCGCAGGTATCTGGAGTCATGCGTTCTAGCTCTGCCCGGTGACCCGGTTTTTTTCATCTGCAGATTGGCATTGTTAACAGTGGCTAGCCTCTAGCCTACGCTGTTGTCGGCAGACTAATGCACAAAAAAAACGGTTCAATACCTTGCCCAGCAGATAGTAAGCGCTCAACACATGTTAATTATTGATACTCTTGTTATTGTTAGGAGTGTTTCTGGGTCCAGGAGGGAGAGAGGCAGGGCGGGGTCTCTGCACACTTTACAGATGAGGTCACCTTTCGGGGCGCTGGGCCCCTCGCCCGCCCACACCCAGCGCAGAGCACGCGAGGTAAGAGTTTAGGGGGCCCGAGGTCCCAAGCCCCGCCCCTCCGTGCTTTTAAGGAGGGACGCTGGGCGCAGGCGCAGACACCGCAGTCCCGCGCGGCGAGCTGCGCCCGAGCCCCACCGCCCGCCCCGGCGCCGGCCGCGACGCGCGCGCACATGGAGGAGGACGCGACGCCCCCGGGCAGGCCCCGCGCCCGCCCCGCAGTGGCCGTGCTGTGCCGCGGCCCCGTGGAGCCGCTCGTCTTCCTGGCTAACTTTGCCTTGGTCCTGCAGGGCCCCCTCACCACGCAGTACCTGTGGCACCGCTTCAGCGCCGACCTCGGCTACAACGGCACCCGCGACAGGGGGGGCTGCAGCAACCACAGCGCGGACCCCACCTTGCAGGTAGCGGGGGCGGCGGGGCGGGGGCGGGCCCTGGGCTGCGGGGCGGGGCCTGGGGGGGTGAGCGTTTTGGGTGGCGGCGGAGTGGAGGGGACTGACCGGGAACTGCTGCGTCAGGGATGCAGAAAGTTGGTCTAGATAAAGCGAGTCTGGAGGGTTCAGGAAAGAGGGGAAAGGTAAGGGAATGAAGTCTTGGTCCCCTTGCCGCCCCACCTCCAGTGTCAGGTTTCAAGAGTTGCCACCAAGATTCTCTGCGGTTAAGGGCTCCAAACAAAGTCCCGTCCCAGTCCCCGTAGTTCTCAGGATGGCGACGTTTTAGGGGGTGGGCAGCGCAGGGTGAGGAACAGCACCCTGGTAATTATGCCCCACAGGAAGTGGAGACCCTCACCTCGCACTGGACCCTCTACATGAACGTGGGCGGCTTCCTGGTGGGGCTCTTCACGTCCACCCTGCTGGGAGCCTGGAGTGACCGTGTGGGCCGCCGCCCGCTGCTGGTGCTGGCCTCGCTCGGCCTGCTGCTCCAGGCCGTGGTGTCCGTCTTTGTGGTGCAGCTGCAGCTCCACGTTGGCTACTTCGTGCTGGGCCGCATCCTTTGTGCCCTCCTCGGCGACTTCAATGGCCTCCTGGCTGCTAGCTTTGCGTCCGTGGCAGACGTCAGCTCCAGCCGCAACCGTACCTTCCGAATGGCTCTGCTGGAAGCCTGCATCGGCGTGGCCGGGACGCTGGCCAGCCTCCTGGGGGGCCACTGGCTCCGGGCCCAGGGTTATGCCAACCCCTTCTGGCTGGCCTTGGCCTTGCTGATAGTCATGGCTCTCTATGCAGCTTTCTGCTTTGGGGAGACGGTGAAGGAGCCAGAGTCCACCCGGCTCTTCACACTCTCTCACCACCGAGCCATTGTCCAGCTCTATGTGGCTCCAGCTCCGGAGAAGTCCAGGAAACATTTAGCCCTGTACTCATTGGCCATCTTCTTGGTGGTCACTGTGCACTTTGGGGCCCAGGACATCCTGACCATCTATGAGATGAGTACACCACTCTGCTGGGACTCCAGGCTGATCGGCTACGGTTCTGCAGCTCAGCACCTCCCCTACCTCACCAGCCTGCTGGGGCTGCGGCTCCTGCAGTGCTGCCTGGCCGATGCCTGGGTGGCCGAGATCGGCCTAGCCTTCAACATCCTGGGCATGGTGGTCTTTGCGTTTGCTACCGTCACACCCCTCATGTTCACAGGTAAAGTGTGTGGGCTCAGGGACAGCTTGTTCCGAAGGTACAGGGTGAGAACTGGGGGCCAACCACTCACTGCTACCAAACGTGGTTCATGCTTGTGTCTTTGGAAATGTGGTTATGTCCCTAGCCTGCACTAGGGGCACAGACAACTAAGAAACACCAGAAAAATGCCACCTTTGGGATTTGGAAAATACAGACCTTTAATGGCCAAAGTAATTAATCTACTTTATCAACCATAAATATTGTTAATAATATAGAGCAAAAGACTAAAGTATGGCTCATACACTAATTGCTTCACCCCTTGTCCTCTGTTCATGATGTTCTTAAACAAAGTCCATGCCATTAATGCCTTGATACTCACTTTTCTGATAAGAATCACAGGACCTACCTCAAATATCCTTGGTCAGCTTGGTTTTTAAAAAAGCCAGTCTTCTCAGCCCACAGATATGAAATTCCTGCTTGCGTTAGTTCTTCTCCTCCTCCTCTTCCTTCCCCTTCCTCTCCCCACTTCTTCCTCTTCTTTTTTTTTGGTGGGAGAGGGGCAGCTGGCCAGGGCATGAGGAAGTTAACTCTTTTAAAGGGACACGTTTATTTTGATAGAGCCCCCAAATATTCTGTGTACATAGTCAGCCCTTCAATAATCACAGATTTCTTCTCTTTTTTTTTCTTTTTTTTTTTTTTGAGACAGAGTCTCACTCTGTTGCCTGGGCTAGAGTGCTATGGCATCAGCCTAGCTCACAGCAACCTCAAACTCCTGGGCTCAAGCGATTCTCCTGCCTCAGCCTCCCGAGTAGCTGGGACTACAGGCATGCACCAACATGCCTGGTTAATTTTTTCTATATATTTTTAGTTGGCCAATTAATTTATTTCTATTTTTTTAGTAGAGACAGGGTCTTGCTCTTGCTCAGGTTGGTTTCAAACTCCTGACCTTGAGTGATCCACCCCCCTAAGCCTCCCAGAGTGCTAGGATTACAGACGTGAGCCACCGTGCCCAGCCCTAATCACAAATTTCTTAACTCAGCTGCTTGTCTGACATTGTGAAGGACAAGGGGACCAAGTACTTTGCTCTCCTGCCAGTGGCGGGGGGGGGTAGTATGGAGAGGATGCCGTCGTTGGTCTGTGGAGACACAGCAGAGTGGGACTTGAGTGGGACTTGGGGGGCTTCATCATATATCCACTTTGGAGAATCCGCTGTCCTCTAGGAGTTTGCAGTTTTGCTGAGGAGACAGCAGTCACATAGGAGGAGAAATGGTTATGGAGAAAAGTGTAAGCCTGTAAGAGACTGAATGCAAAAGGAAAAGGAGCTCACATTTACCGTGTCCTTACGGTGCTGTGCTGCTCTTCATAGATGTTACCTTTTTTCCTCATGTGTTAGTTTCCTAAGGTTGCTGTAACAAAGTACCACAAACTCAGTGGCTTAAAACAACAGAAGTTTATTTTCCTATGGCTCTGGAGGCCAGAAATCCAAAATCCGTATCCGTGGGCTGAACTCAAGGAGCTGATGGAGCAGTGCTCCAGAGTTTCTTACTTCTTCCAGCTCTGGTGGCTGCTGGCATTTCTTGGCTTGGCAGCATCACCAGTCTCTGTGTGGTCACACTGCCTTCTTCTCTTTGTGCCCTCCCTGTTCTGTCTATATCAGATCCCTCTGCTTTCCTCTTATAAGGGTATGTGTAATTGCATTTAGGGCCCAACCTGATAAGCCAGGATAACCACCCCATCTCAACATCTTAACTTAATCACACCTGCAAAGACCTGTTTTCCAAATAAGGCAACATTTACAGGTTCCAGGGATAGGAACCTGACATCTTTGGGTGCCATTTTCAGCCTCCTATGCCTCAGATCCACCCTGTGCTGAAGGCTTTATTCTCCTCCTTTTACAGACAGGGAGTCAGGCTCAGGGAGGTTAAGTACCCAAGGTCACACAAATGGTAAGTGACAGGGCCTGGCATGGTGGCTCAGGCCTGTGATCCCAGCACTTTGGGAGGCAGAGGTGAAGGATTGCTTGAGGCCAGGAGTTTGAGACCAGCCCGGGCAACATAGTGAGACCATGTCTCTAAAACAAAAATATAGCCAGGCATGGTGGCACGTACCTGTAGTTGCAGTTACTTGGGAAGCTGAGGCAGGAGGAGGATCACTTGAGCCCAAGAGTTCAAGGCTGCATTGAGCTGTTATGCCACTGTATTCCAGTCTAGGCAACAGAGTGAGACCTTGTCTTCCCCCCCAAAAAAGTAACTGATGGCATTAGGTTTTGAACTTGGGGCTGACCCCAAAGCCCATGCTTGTTTTCTGTGCCTGCCATCTTCCCAGTAAGTGCTAAGTGGGTGGGTGATGCCTCTTGTGCCCACAGAGGCATCTGATGAGAAAGCAGTAGGTAGGGATCAGCATTCATTCATGAAAGAGAAGCAGACAGGCCCAGCCTGCAGAACGGCAGTCTCCATTCCTCCTTGGTGGCTGTCTCCCTACTCTCACCATCAAGGAAGTTTTTCCTGGGTCTAACCTAAGTCCCACATGGGCTGTGTATAGGAGCTCTGGTGCCTCTTACTTGGACACCCAGTCCCAACCCCATTTTCCTGATGAGTCTTTATTTCTCCACAGGGTACGGGTTGCTCTTCCTGTCTTTAGTCATCACACCCATCATCCGGGCCAAACTGTCCAAGCTGGTGACCAAGTCAGAGCTGGGTGAGTGTCATGATCAACCTGTGTCTGGTTCTTTATACCCAGCATTGCTGGAACCGGGCAGATGGGCAGCCATGAATGGGGGGGGCAACTTACTTTCCTCCCTCCCTCCCCACCCTGCAGAAGAAATGACCAAGACAAATGCACTTCTGTCAAATTGCCCAGGGCTGGCAGACACCATGATACCTTGGATTTTCAAACCACAGAGCTGGGATTTGCTGTCAGGAGAGCATGATTATTTCTTTCTTGATAATCAGAGCAGAGGATGTACTCTCTCCAGACCTCAGCTGGTCCATCTGTAAAATGGGCATGATGATGTCAGTTCCCTGCTTTGCTAGGGTCATAGCGCACAATCTCAGAGGGCGTCAGAGGGCGTGAACAGCCTTGTGACATAGTTTCATTGTCCCTAATTGACAGATGAAGAAGCAGAGGTCCAGAAGGTTAAATTCACTCACCCAAGGCCAGTCAGTAAATGGTGGATCTGGGATGCAAACCCAGGTCTGTTTAAAAAGCAGCTGGTCTCAGGCTCTGGGCTTTCGTCTCGGCTCTGTCACAGACCTCAGTTTCCTCATCTGTAAGATGAGTGGTTTGCTTTTGCTGGCATCTGTGGGCCCTTCTAGTGCTGACAGTCTGGCACAGTTTAATGTCAGCTTCTGTTGGGTTGTTGCTCATTTTGCAGACTGTGGGCTCCGCTGGCATATTTATAAAGAACAGCATCTCGGGCCTCGGGGCCTCTTTGCCCCAGTCTGGAAACACCTGGCTCATTCACTTTTCAAATGCCCTGGAAGAAGGCTCTGATGATGACAGAGGCCCTGGTGCCATACGTAGCCCACCAGGCTCCGGTGTCCCCAGCACTCTTGTGCCTTCATTCATTCACTCAGTAAGCTTTTCTCTAGCACTTTCACTGTGCCCAGAGATGTCAAGAGGAACGGAAGAAAAGGACAGCTCTTACTAAGTAGCTAACTCCAGGGGCCAGACCCTGTGATAGGTGACTTACATGTGAACTTAATGTTGCCGACAATCTGTGAAATGGGTAGTGTCCTTATTCAACAGAAGGGGGAACAGAAACCCAGCAGGAAAAGCAAGTGTTCGGTGATCACACGGCTTTAAGTGTCGGAACTGGAAATCAAACCGGCAGTTAATCCCACACAGGTGATTCTAAAGAGGTTAAACAGAAAAGAAAGGAATTTCCATCAGATTTTCATTAGACAATGTCACATGTCCTGTTCATGTGCATTTAATAGGAGCCTTGTATGTAGCAGTCCCTCTGTGCCAGGTATGTCCCATGCATGACCTCACTGAGTCCTTATCGCAACATGTGATGCGGCAAGATTTGTAGGTGAGGGAGGTGAGACTCAGAGAGGTTAAGTGACTCGCCCTAGGTCACACAGCTGTGAGGTAGTCGTGCCAGGATTTGAACCTGGGTTTTTCAAACTCCAGAATATGGATTTTATTTCCTCACAGGGGCTCTCTTTTCTGCGGTGGCCTGTGTGAATAGCTTGGCCATGCTGATGGCCTCCGGCATCTTCAACTCACTCTACCCAGCTACTTTGAACTTCATGAAGGGGTTCCCCTTCCTCCTGGGAGCTGGCCTCCTCTTCATCCCAGCCATTCTGATTGGGTAATGCAGGGCCCTGAACCCGTGCTCATAACGGAGCCCTTTATACTAAAGGTTTCCTATTCTTCCTCCTCCCAACCAGTAATGGCAGCTTCATTCCCGAGATACTTCCCCTCTGGGCGTCTCATTCCAGGCTCACTCTCCCCTTGCAGATGGCTGCCCAGTCCTCTGGGAGCCGTTTTCCAAGGGCAAGGTAGAGGGGCAGGTCAGGGAGGGATCAGGCCAACATTGCTCCTTGGCATGACTGCCTTCTCTCCCTCTGTTCCCATTTTAGAGATGGAACTGTGGCGGCAGAACTGTGTAGATGTGAGGCCCAGAGAGCTTCCTGAGCTAGTTGTGGGACTGGGCCACAGGCTAGCCTGGCCCACTGACTTCATCCCCTGTAGTATTAAGAGTTATCTTCCAGAGCCATCTGCCTCTGGACATTGTCCTCTACCTCTCAGCTTGGGGAGGGAGGGGTTCAGAAGGGAGATACCTGGAAAAGCCCACCCAGGTAAACCCTGTGTCACTTCTCCAAACAGGAGTTGAGGGTTCCCCGTGTCAAACCTGAATCCTCTCTCTGGTCTTTCACAGGATGCTAGAAAGGACAGACCCTCACCTAGAATTCCAGCAGTTCCCCCAGAGCCCCTGATCTGCCTGGACCAGAGGGCAGAAGGCAAGAAGAGCAGAGCAAACACGAGCCGGAATCCTGTGTCTGGGAGCCCAGCCTAGGAGTTCAAGGCTCCTAGCAGTTCTCCTCGAAGGGCAGTGCTCACCTTGCTCACGGTGGTCAAGCTAGACCAAGGCACTGCCTCATCCATAGCTGAGCCAGCTCTGACTGCAACCTAGAATCATAACCCAAGCCAGGCGTGGTGGCTCACGCCTGTAATCCTAGCCCTCTGGGAGGCCAAGGCAGGAGGATCACTCAAGGTCAGGAGTTTGACACCAGCCTGAGCAAGAGCAAGACCCCGTCTCTACTAAAAACAGAAATTAATTGGCCAACTAAAAATATATAGAAAAAAAAATTAGCTAGGCATGGTGGAGCATGCCTGTAGTCTCAGCTACTCGGGAAGTTGAGACAGAAGGATTGCTTGAGCCCAGGAGTTTGAGGTTGCTGTGAGCTAGGCTGATGCCACGGCACTCTACCCCGGTCAACAAAGTGAGACTCTGTCTCAAAAATAAATAAATAAATAAATAAAAATGAAATCATAACCCAGACAGGCTCTCCACTCCAGGGCAAGCGGTGGGGAGCCACTTGGGACGGAGCCTGTTCACCTTTTATTCCATCCATCACTTTGAACCCTCCAGGGCAGAGGAGAGGTCCTGATGGGGGTGACACTTCAGGGACCAGGGAAAGCATGAGGGCTGGCATCTCTCCTTCCAGCTCAAACTGCACAGCCCCCAGTACTAGGTCCCTCATGTGTGCAGTAGGCAGCAGGCACTCCATACTGATGGGTGTGGTGCTGCTTAGTGCCAGCCTTGGGGGGCGGGAGGGCTCGGTGACCCCTGCAGGGAGAGTGCTGCTGTCACTGTGGTTGGCGACTCCTTGGCTCTGGTCTGTCCACCCCTAACCTGAAGAGTGCCAGTCATCCTAATAAATCAGTTTGATCAGACTGACACGAACCTTCTGGTCCACAAGGTATTGCGCTTTGGGACCCTGTCTGCCTGGCATAGGTCAGGCAACAGAGCTGCTGGGCTGGGCAGGAGCCCGGAGCTCCAGGGGGATTGGTTCCATGCGGGGCCAGCCGAGGCCTCGTCTGAGTCATTCTCTTCTCCCGGGCTGCTGGGAGGTGAAAGGCTGCCGGGCTTGCATGGGGCCAGTGGATAAGCTTGGGGCAGAGCCCTGGGTGCACATTCCTGAGAGTCCGGCAGGTTCACTACCTGAAGGCACCTATCCTGGTCTTCCTGGCTGCACCAGCCCCGGCAGAATGAGGTTTTGATCCCACTCGGCACTCCACCTCCCATTGCTGGGCACTGTCAGCAGAGCCATGTGCTGAGACCAATCCCTCATTGCATCTGTAAGTCAACAGGAACCTGGGAACTAGACCTGATTCCCTGTAGAATCCAGGGCCCCAACTTCCTGGAGAATGAGGTGCCCATTTCCAGGGCGTCAGGAAGGGCTACACCCGAGGTGGAAAGCCAAATCTTATTTAACAATAAGACACTTGCCTTGATGAAGGCCACAGGTCTCCCAAGCAGACCCAAGCCTGGTAGTACTTGATGCTTCAAACCAGAGTTGCCCATAGGGGCTTGGCCCTGCTGCCATTTCCACCCTCATTTCCTATCAACTGTCCTGCCAGACGGTTTCCTGGCTGGAAATAATGCAGGTGAAATGGGGGCAGCCTGGGCCCCTATTTCCAGACCTGAGCCCTCTGTGCTTGGAGGACCAAAGCAAGGAGAGGGCCCTCCACGGACTCAGCCTTCACAAGGCTCTGGGCTGGCCTCAAGCCCAGGGTCTTTGGACACTACCTCTGACTAGCTGGGTGACCTTGAGCAAGCCCCTCTAGGAAGAACTGGGTCAGCAATGCCCCAGACTGTGTGATTGTGGAGATCACATCCAGCTGGACAAGTTAAACAATTAGCTAATGCTCTGAGATCCTCCCACCTTGTACATTCTAGAATACGATGGCTCTTTTCATGGGCCTGGGAGGGCCAGGGGTGGTGGGGAGGTGGGTGTGGAGGGAAGGATAAATGATTTGTGGCTGGACTTTTGACCTTTGGACGTCCCTGAGCATTCTTGGCCCCTGCAGAGGAGTTGGGGGAGGCCCTAGCTGGCTCTGTCCCAACCAGGGGCGGCAGCTGCAGCCCAGCAAAGCAGAAAACCCTGAGCCTGCAGACCTGTATCAGAGCAGGCTTTGGAGGAAAGGCCACTTCTGAGCCCTGTGTCTCAGGATCAGACCTAGGTGAAAGGGGAGGGCCTACGTGCTTGCCTCGCAGTCAGCAGTGCCTGTCACCCCTGAACACACTGGCCTGGCTTGGGAGAGGCTCATCAGTGGCTAGCAGTGGGGCTAGGGGCTGGGCACTGATTGCCCAGACAGACGGGAGGGAGCAGAGGTCAACCAGAAGGCTAGACAGGGCAGTAGACAGCAGTGGAAGGTATACCAAACAGAACAGAAACCAGGAAACCTCAGAGCTGCCCACGGCCACCTCAGGATGAGTGGGACTGATGGGAGACAGAAAGACAGAGTGTCCCTGGAGATACTCATACACTGTATTGTTACTGTGAGGGCAGTGTCCGATCTGCCCCATTCATTGCATCCACGACCCAGCCCTGGAACCGGCACCGGTGAGCCCTTGTGCTGCACGAGGAAGGTAGGATCAAGTGTAGCCAAAGAGTCAGGGTGGGGGACTGGCTGAGGACAGTACCTTTGGCAGGGAAAGGAGTGGAAGGAAGGAGTCCCAAAGCTGGGGTGAGGCCTCAGCTCTGATGATGTGCCCCGAGAGCTAGGAGTGACCTGGCCAGCATGGCAGGGAGGGGGCTGGGAGCTGAGCCAGCCTTGACATGTGAACTCGCAGCCCTTGGTGGGAAGAGGCAGGGCAGGTTCCAGCTGCCCCGCTGGCTGGAGTCTGGGCTTATCGCAGGGAGGGTACTTTCTTGCCTTCTGACCCCAGTGGAAGGAGGGGCAGAGGGACATTCCTGCTCTGTATGGCCCCTGGTTAGCCTTTCCTTGCAAAATCCTACCCCCCACTGCTGGATTCTTTGGGGCAGGGACGAAGTAATAGCCCTGCCCAGGGCGCAGCCCCCAGGATCTTTCTCGGGAGAGCAGTCCCCCCGCAGTGGACCGGGTGCCAGGAGGCCTCAGTCTGGATCTGGGACTGCCACTAATGACTTGGGAAACGAGGCTTATCACTCAGCCTTTCTGAGCCTCAATGTCTTTATCTGTGGAATGGAGACGATAGTACCGCCAGGGTTGCCCTGGTGACTGCAGGGACCATGGAGTGGAGTGCTTGGGAAATGGCAAAGATTTGCGAGGGATTCATGTTTTAGAGACTTGCTGCTCAAAGCGTTGCTGTCATGGGGGCCACCAGGTCCCTGAGCGAGTGAGTGGGCAGCTGGGGGGGGGCCAGACCAGGCAGGAGCCTGAGGCACGGCACCGAGGCCTGGGGTAGGGTGGGCTTTGAGACAGGGCCTCTCCGTGCCCGGGCCCAGGCCCTGGCCCAAGTTGGAGGCTCTTGTGCACCAGCAAGTTACCGACCAGTCAGAGCAAGGGCCCCTTTGGCCCACCTCTGGCCTCAGATGTGGCTAAGGAGACCACATCAAAGGAAGGCTGGGTGGGGACCCGGGACCTAGCCGGGATGGCTAGGGGCAATAGGTGGTTGTGGGGCAAGGCCACAGAACGGAAGGAGGTGGTGAGCCCAGGACCCAGGCACAGTCCGGGTAGAGAGCCACGTCGGACTCTCTTCCCCGGCTGGCTCCTGGGCCCAGGCTGAGAGGGCCGGGCCCTGCCCTGACTCCTGCTGAAGGCTGCCTGCCTTCCCCTCCTCAAGCTGGCTGCTGTGTCTCCAGAACTGAGCAGGGACCCTCCCCACGCCTGAGACAGAGGCACTGAGGACAGGGCCTGGGAGGTGTAATGCTCCCCACGCCACTGCCCTTCCCTTCCCAGACCCTGAGGAACGTGGGTTTCAGGCAGGCCATGGGGTAGAGACAGGGAGAGCCATTTCTGAGCAGAGCCCAGGTGGTCTCAGCCCGGGGAGGCCGGGTGGAGGAGCTGCTCCCTCAGGATGATGGGAATGGGCGTCACAGCAGGGCTTGGGAGCTGGGGACTGGTTAGGTCGGGCCCATGGGTGCAGCACCCTCCAAACTGGTGTCGGAGCCCGCAGACGAGTCCCGGGAGGAGCGGCCCTGCAGGAAGCGGATGATCTTCTCAATGGTGGCCTCCTGGTACTCGTGGGACCACCTGTGGGCACAGAGACGACGTGGGTCAGAGGGAGCTGCGAGCCCGAATGCTGCCTGCTAGGGTGATTTGTACCAGCCCCCCTCAGTCCCAGGGCCCCGAGGCTCACTTGATGCCATTGAAGGTAAGCACCGCCTGCATGTCCTCAGGCAGGACCTGAGGCTCAGGCCACTCGAAGCCATCAATGACTGGCACAATGTTCTTGCCACAGCTTAAAGCAGTCACAATCTCCTGGAGAAAGAAGAGCATTAAGGAGGAAGATACCCCTGTCCCCATCCAGAGACCCTGGGGCCAGGCAGGCCCTGGGAGGACCACTAGCCTGAGGCTGGGCCCAGGGTGGGACATCAATCCTGAAGTCCACCTCACTTCTCCCTTCCCCCTTGTAGTATCATAAAAAATAAATATTTGGTCTTTGTCCAGGGCTCCTAAAAGCTTTGGAATCTCCTGAGTGATGAATGTCTCATATGCTAATGAGATGACACCTAGCTTGGGGGTGGGGACAGCCTAGAGAGTTTCTGGAAGAGGGCTGGTCACCAGAAAGACCAAGGCATGATTAGAGGGTTGGAACTTTCAGTCCCAACCCATGGCCTCTAGAGAGGGTCTGGAGATTGAGTTCAATCACTAATAGCCAGTGATTGAATCAAATACGCCTATGTAATGAAACCTCCAAAAAAACCCCAAAGCATGGGGTTTGAAGAGCTTCCAGGTTGGTGAACACCTCTGAGTGCTGGAAAAGTGGTGCATGGGGAGAAGGCATGGTATCTGAAGGTGTCTGTTTTCTCTTAATAATCTATAAAAAAGGGTTAATGATAGCTAGTACCTATCTTGTAGGATTGTTGCATGGAATAAACGCAACATTCCATGACAAGTGATTAGAATAGCACTTAATAAATAATAGGTGTTGTTATCATTTCCTCCTCTATAAAGTGGGAATAATAAAACCTACCTCACAAGGCTGATCTGAGGATGTTACTTACTATTAATGGTGCTCTGGTAAGTGCTTATTGAATGGTTTTTTCCTTTCAAGGGGGAACCACAGGGATTGAACTTTCTTGAGTGCAGTTCACTTGTGGTTTTCCATATTGATTACCCACTAAATGTGGCTTCGGGGAAAGGAGTTTTAAAACCAGAAGCAATTAAGCACTAACAACCAAAGAGGGATGACGGAGCCTTTGGCACTGGGCCAAGGCAAAGGCGCCTGCCTCCCCCCTCCTCCTCTCTCCCCACCATCTGCGGGGACAACAATGGGTGCCAAGGACCTGGTGGAGTGGAGCCTTCCTGGGGAAAGAACATGCATAACTGCAGCCCTTTCTGGAAAGCCGCTCCCTTTTACAGATGAAGAGAAAGAAGCCCAGAGAAGGGAAGGGACTTCCTCCCAAGTCACACATATGTCCAGCCCAAGGGGGCCCAGGCCTGTGACTCAAGCATTCAGAGCCCCGATGCCTCTCTGCTGAGCATTGGGACGAATTCCGACCCTGCAGCAACTTATTATGGAACCTTTAGACGTTTGTTTCATCCAGAATTACACAGAAAAAAGACAGTACAAATTGTTCACTGCACATTCATAGCGTGGCCAAAAAAAGGATAATGGCTTGTTCAAGATCACTCAGCTGGTTAAGAATGAACACTTGACTGGAGTCAAGACTTCTGACCTGGTAACCCTAGTAGATATGTATGGCTCTGCCAGTCATCTCAGCTTCATCAGAACCATTCATCTGCTTAATCATTGATTCAGTTATTCTGCAAACTGTAAGGCCTCCTTTGGACTATGCACAGGTTCAGGAACTAGGAATACGGCATGAACAAGGCAGGGTCTGAACTCCCATGGAGCTCATAGACACTCCTCTCTTTCTCTCAGAACACTGCCTGCCACCTGCCCTGGGTCGTCGGCCATATTCCTCCATGTGTGTACTGGCCCAGTGCGCCTCCCCAAACCAGGCCCAGTACTCAGCTCCTCCTACATGGGGCTTGACCCTCTCCCCACTGTCAATCAGGACTGCATGCTAGTATCACAGCCTTCTTCCTAAAACCCAGTACTCTGCCATTTCCCTGGAAACGGGCCCCCTGTTTCCCAGCGCTTCAGGCAAAGGTCTTCTCCCTGCCTTTAGACACCCCATAAACTGGTTCCATAGTTTTTATCCAGCCACTGGTAGACCAGTAAACTTATAACAATGTGGGGTGCCTCGGGAGAATTCAACCAAACAACCAACCCAACAAACAAAACCCTGATTGGTTGTGGCTGCCAATTTCCTTGGTGTAAATACTCTTACAATGGCCGATTTCAAGCTATCAACAGCTTCTCAATGTGGAGTTGAGACAAGATGCAGACAATCATCTCTAGTGTCAGCAAAATCCAACCCTATCCCCTCCCCTTCCCTCCCACCCCCTCAGATCTGGGCCATGGGATACAGTGTCCTGGGAAAGAGCACAGGCCTTGGAGTCAGATAGAGTCTGAAGCCAAACTTTTCTGATTGCTGCACTAGTAATGTGGCCATGGGAAAATTATTCTGCTTTTCTGAGCCTCAGTCTCTTCATCTGTGAGATGGAGAAGATGACACCAATGACGCACACAGGCTTTCGGCACCTTTCTCGTCCCAGCCTGTATTCCTTTGCTCATGCTGTTCCCCCTGCTCGGGATGCCTTCTTTTCCACTCACCTAAATTCCCAAGACTCTTCTGAAATTATGCTTCCTCCATGATGCCTTCCCTGATTATTCCAGCCCTCAATGCTCTCTCCCTTCCCCACACTCCTGCAGCAAGAGGTTCGCCTGCCCGGCTTAGCATTTACACCAACTTGTATACAATCAAGTCACCGCGGGTGTATTCTTGTCTCCTCAGCTCCTGGAGGAAAAGGGCCCTATCTCAGATGCCTACTGCCTCCCTCAGCCCCGATCCCACTTCCCACTGACTGATTAATGATTAATAAGCTGAAGATGTGATATAGATCCATCCATTCAGCCATCCATCCTACAAGTATTCAATAAGTTCCTACAATGTGTCAGGTGCTGAAGATACATTGGTGACTATATCAGATGTAGTAGTCATTATAATTACATTAATAATAATAATTGGTACTATTATTGAGCAGTTTCTATGGGCCAGGCATTCTACTAAGCACTTCACACAAATTTTAGCTCTTTTAATCCTTGTAACAATTTCCTAGGGAGTGAAGTACTATTTTTTTTTTTTTCAGATGGAGTCTTACTCTGTCACCTGGGCTAGAGTGCTGTGGTGTCGCCTAGCTCACAGCAACCTCAAACTCCTGGGCTCAAGCAATCCTCCTGCCTTAGCCTCCCAAGTAGCTGGGGCTACAGGTACCTGCCACCACACCTGGCTAACTTTTCTATTTTTAGTAGAGATGGGGGTCTTATTCTTGCTCAGGCTGGTCTCGAACTCCTGAGCTCAAGTGATCCTCTCGCCTTGGCCTCCCAGAGTGCTAGGATTACAGGTGAGAGAGCCACTGTACCTGGCCCGAAGTACTACTTCTATCCCCATAATTATCCTCACTTTCTGGTAATAAATATGAAACTAATCAGGGCTAAGTAACTTACTCAAGGCCAGAGCCAGGATTCGAACTCTCAGTTTTGTTCTCTCAACAAGGATTCCATTCTGCCTGTCACTATGCTCTTCTGTCCCTCACAGGAGTATTTTTCAAAGCATTTTCATCCCTCTCTGACCCTCACAACAATCCTACAAGGTGAGTAGGACAGGTAAGTTATCCCTACTTTGTGGATAAGAAAACTGAGGCTCAGAAAGCCTAAGTGGCTTGCTAACGTCCTATTACAGTCAGAGCTGTGGCTCCTGACTTCCAGCTGGGCCACGGAGGTACTTCAGGGCTACATGTTGTTGGGGAACACAGACGAGAAGGAATGAAGGGGGACACTGTCTCCTGGGCCATGGGCTAATACTGGGACTGCAGAGGTGCAGGCCAGCACCTACCTTGTGCACCCAGTCCTTGCAGTCATGGTCGCCTATGCACTTGTCCAGTGCCCCAGCTGACAGCACCAGCACAAAGTTGCGGGCACCCATGACACTCTGGATGAGCTTGTCCTCGAACTTTCCTGCTTCTAGCTTCTCCACATCAATGAAGACACTGAAGCCGTGCAGCTGCAGGTGCACTTTCAGGAGGCTGCAAAGAGGTCGTGTGTCACGGCTGTGGCCTTGCACCAACATCCCCGGCTGCCTGCCTGCCTCTCCTCACCTGGCCAGCTGAGAGCCTGAGTTCCGGCGGTAGCTGATGAAGACATCTGGGGTGTCCCCACTGGGCTTGCAGCTAGTGCAGGGCAGCGGAGAGTGTAGCATTTCTGAGGCAGACGAGACAGCATGGGAGAGTGGCTCCCCATCACTCACCATAGGTGCATCATCCCTTAGGGACTCAGTCCCCTGTCCACCCAGCCCTCTCAGCCCAGCCCAGCCAGGGTGGCTTGCTCCAAAAAGGGTCACTGAGGTGAGCGATGGGGCCTACAGAAGGAAAGTTGTAACTATTGGTGAGTTCCTCCCAGGAGGCAGCATTGTGTTTCAGGGACATTGACATGCACTTTCAGCCCTGCCCTGTCTCTGGAACTCCAGACATGCACAGACAGCTGCCCACGGGTGCTCCAGACCCAAAAGCCAGGCACCATGTTCTGAGGATTCTACCTACTCAACATCCAGCCCCAGGGCCCTCCCGCTGCCCAGCCTCTGCAGTGGCTTCCCCCAGCCCAGCTAGGACTGCCCAGTAGAGTCCATTAGCCACAGCTACCAGAGGGTCTTTCTAAAATCCAAATATGACCATGTCATTGCCCCCTACTTAAAAACTGTGCGTGGCTCCCTATTCCCTAGAAAAGCAATTTTTTTTGTTACCTAGTTTTGCCCTACACCTCTCCTACTGTGGAAAACTGAAATCTTGGAGTTTTATCGGGAGCTGTAACATAAAAATGATAAAAGCTGACCTGCTTTGGTTGAAGCATAAGAATGGAGCCAAAGTCTTAGTCCCTTGTCCCTTGTGGGTGCTTAATACGCATTTGCTAAATGAATGGTTAAAATGAAAAGAATTCCTCTTCCTATAATATTCAGACTTAATACCCACAAACATTTGTCTGTTTACAAAGCCGAAAGCCAAGGGCTTGAATCCCAGTTCTACCATCTAATGGCTTTTATAACCTTGGGAAATGTATTTAAATTCTTTAAATCTTAGTTTCCTTATCTTTAAAATTAATACCCACGATGGAAATGCTCTATATCTTTGATTATATTGGAAGTTACACAGATGTTTCTCAAAACTCTTCAAACTGGACACTTTTAAGTTTACCTAGGCCTCTTTATATTCTTTAAAAAGTTTTAAAGTTATTTTTTAAAAAATTGAACACCGGCTGCATAGAATTGATGTAGAGATTAATGAGATAATATCTTAAACGCATAATACAGTACCTGGTATATAGTAATTGATGGTAAATAGTGGCTAAATAGTGAATTAGTAAATTAAAATAAATCAGTAAATAAAAAGGGTCGCTAGAACCCTAGAATTCATCCTAAAACACCTCCAAACCCATACTTTGTAAGCTATTGGCTAAAAGGATAAGCCACGTCCCCAACAACCGTGTGTTCCCACCCATACCCCTCTGCACTCTGTCCTACCCCCACACTTGCCTATGCCGACCCCTCCCCCTCTGCCCAGGCTGCTCTGCATATTGCCACCCCTCCCTCTTCCCCTCCCCCAATACATGCCTCAAGACATGGTCAGGTGTTCCCTCCTCTCTGAAGTTTAGACCCGGGGACAGGGTAGGCTGTGCTTGGTCTCAGCTCCCACTGGAGTCCTGGGCATGCTTCCTGCTGGGGCCACCTGCCTGTCTATATAGCTACCTTCCTCCCACCCTGCCACCCACCTGAGACTGGGAACTTGTTCAGGGCAAAGTGCAATATATTTATCTTTATACCCTGGGAGCCCAGTCTGACAAAGCGTACGTGCGCAATCAATCCACAGGGAGGCTCTGGGATCCACCCGGTGTCTCCCCTCACCCCTCCAGGGCGGGGCCGGGCGGGCTGGGGTCCCAGCTGGGTGGGCTGACCTCTGGCGGCTGTGATGATGCGGGCGCGGTGCACGCCCAGGCGGATGCCACAGTCCTCCAGGAGCTGCTGCTCCGACACGCGGTGCAGCAGGGAGCGGTCCAGGCCACAGCTGACCAGGCCGTAGGTGTACTGGCGGAAGCGCGGGTCCAGGCTGCCCAGCCAGTCGGCCAGGTTGCTGCGGTCGCACATGGCGTAGTTGGCGAAGGTCTTGAGCTCCGTGAGCTCCCTACAGAACCTGCACCCCAAGGAGGAGAAGACGCTGAGGTCCCGACTCCAGATGGGCTGGGGGCGGATGGGGCGGTTCATGAGACCTGGCTGGGGTGGGGCGGGCAGGAGGCCCCGTACCTCTTGCGAGTGATGCCCGACTTCATGCCCAGGTCGTTCTGGAGTTCCTCCTCCGTGAGCCGCAGGAGCAGGTCGCCATCTACCTGCTGCTCCTGGGGCAGGGGTCAGGTGTAAGGAAGGGCTCCCCCCTCAGCCCCTGGACCTCACGTTCAACATGCAAGAGGAGGGAATTGGAGATGGCGGAGCGGAGGATGGGACCCACATGGGACCCAGATTAGAGCCGAGTGACTCCGAGGGTGGCTGAGTACAGGCTCCCCACCCCCAAAAGGCCACGCTGACACCGCAAGCATGGGGTCCTGGGAGGGGACCCGCTTGGACTCGGGGCGCTCTGACTCCGGCCCCCGAGGCTCTACCCGGAAGCTGTCGCAGTACTGGGAGAAGCCGATCTGCTGCAGCCACGTCTGGACCTCCGCCTCCTTCCAGCTGGCCACGCAGGGCAGGATGGGCCGCGGCACCTCCTCGCCCAGCAGGCGCAGCGCGCGCTTGGCCAGCGCCGACTTGGTGCCATTAGTGGAGTAGGAAACGAGGCGTTTCAGGCTCTGGATGGCCCCGATCTCGCAGAACACCTTGGGAAGGGGAGGAGAGAGGGCGCCTAGGTAGCCAGCTGTCCCCAAATGTGCCCAGTCCCTCCTTACTGCTTCTTACCTCTGAAAGACCCACCATCTACCCCAGCCCTGCCTTCAGCCACTAAGTCACCCATTCCTGTGGATTCCGCTCCTGAAGTTCTCTCAACTCTTGACCAGGCCACCTCCCATGCCCCTTCTACAGCTCCCACTGGCCTTGGGATGAAGTCTGGGCTCTCGGTATGGCCTCCAGGCAGGGCACGGCACAGCCCCTGCCCACCACTCCCAGCTCACCTCGCCTTGCACCAACCCACACTTGCCCGACACCCGACACCCTCCCCCACACCCGCCCACCGAGGTTCTCCCACCTCTGGGTGGCCCTGCTGTGTTCCCAAACCCTAAGTTCCTCCAGCCTGCTTGTGGGGATCCAAACTGATTAGCACCTCCTGCAAGCTGCCTGCTGGGATCCCCCCACAGCTTGGCCTGCACCTCCATGTAGGACTTATATTGCACTCTGAAAGCCACTGTCACTAGTTGATAATGCAACTTCAAAAAACAAAACAAAACAGGACAGCTTTTGATTTAAAGTGAGTAAAAAAAGAAAGATGATGCAATTTCCACTGGAGTATAAACTGAGGACATGTCTTAGTCACCACTGGAGCTCTGCATCTGGCATGATAAAGGACACAAAGTGGGGGCTCCATATGTCTTTCTTGAACTGCACTCGCTTGGCCTTGATGGGAAAGAGGTGACAGGGCTGGTGATCATGGCTGCTGCCCAGATCCAATCTTTGGGCACTCCCTACTTCCCTTCTCTCAAAGCAGAATGACCAGCTTTACAGGGCAAGTCCTCCCATGGCCCTGCTCTGGGGCACAGAGAGAAGAATCAGAAGTTCCTAAAGCATGCTTTTTTTTTTTTCTTTTTAATTTTTTTTTGGGGCTACTAGCAAGAAATTTTATGGGGCTTTTTATTTATTTTGCTTTTTTTTTTTTTTTTGAGACAGAGTCTCGCTTTGTTGCCGCAGGCTAGAGGAGTCCGTGCGTCAGCCTAGCTCACGCAACCTCAAACTCTGGCTCAGCAATCCTGCGCCTCAGCCTCCCAAGTAGCGGACTACAGGCCGTCGCCACCATGCCCGCCTAATTTCCTCTATATATCAGTTGCCAATTAATTATTTCATTTATAGAAGACCGGTCTTGCTCTTGCTCAGGCGTTTTGAACTCCTGACCTTGACAATCCCGCCCGTCAGCATCCCAGAGTGCTAGGATTACAGTGACCACCACGCCCTGCCTACAGCTCTTCTTGATCTGCAGGGACATATATGATGGGTGGCTACCAACTGTGAGACACACTCCTCTGAGCACCCCCAGGTGACAGCTGTGGTGCAGACAGGGTGGGCCATGGGGTATGCACCACTCCCTGTGCATCAAATGTCACCAAACCCCAAGTCCCCTCAGAGTAATGCAAAGGAGAGAGCGTGACATTATAGGGATCATCTTGAATCTGTAATATTTAAGAAACAAAACCCAGCTGGGCACGGTGGCACATGCCTGTAGTACCAGCTACTCGGGAAGCTGAGGCAGGAGGATCACGTAAGCCCGAAGTTGGAGGCCAGCCTGGGCAACATAGTGAGATCCCATTTTAAAAAAGAAAACCCACATATTTTTGGTAATAAAATTAACATTAGTCCCACATCCAGGGTAAGAATTGCTCATAAAAATGAGGCCCAGAGAGGGGATGCCAGGTGCACAAAGTCACACATGTGTCACGCAGGACCCCTTGGGACTCAGGTGGGAGTTATTTGGCTGACACACTGATGTCCTGCCCCAAGCCTCTGTCTTCAGCAGCTATCTTTTATTTTATTTATTTATTTTTTTGAGACAGAGTCTTACTTTGTCACCGCGGGTTGAGTGCAGTGGCGTTATCATAGCTCACTGCAACCTCAGACTCCTGGGCTCAAGGGATCCTCCTATCTCAGCCTCCCAGGTAGCTGGGACTACAGGTAAGCACCACAACGCCAGTGATGCCCAGCTAACTTTTCTATTTTTAGTAGAGATGGGTCTTGCTTTTGTTCGGGTTGGTCTGGAACTCCTGAGCGCAAACAATCCTCCTGCCTTGGCCTCCCAGAGTGCTAGGGTTACAGGTGTGAGCCACCGCACCCAACCTCCAGCAGCTGTCCTCCCAGTCTCCAGACTCCAGCGGCTAAACTATCTGCCGAAGCTCCCCAGCTGGGCATCTCTCACTCTCAAACTCCCTATGTCGCACTGTGCCATCAAGTCCTAATTCCATCTCTTACATACCCCTGCATCTGCCACTCTCTGCTGCTACCACCACTCCTGCCTCCACCATCTCAAAGCCCCTCCCTCAAGTCACAGCCTCCTATTGGGTCCCCTAGCTTCCAATCTCACCCTCCACACCCCAGCCAGGGTGATCTTTGTTAAACACAAGTGTCTGCATCTTAAAAAGTTCTCAGCACCTTCCTCTTGCCCCCAAAGACTTAAGTCCAAACTTTGGGTCTTGTCTTCAAGGCCAGAATGTCACCTGATCCTTCCTCTCACTTCACCTAATGGTCATGTGAACTTCAAGTCCCAGTGGAATGTCATTTCCTCTGGGGAGCCTTCCCAGATGCTCCCTACTCCCTCCCTCCTGCACCCACCTTGGTCTTGCCTTGCAGGCTCTTGATGGCAGCCTCAGCGCAGAGGTAGAAAGCCCCGATGCACTGCGCCTCCAAGCGCGACGAGTCGAGCAGCGGCACGAGGCGCTGCAGGTCGTCTGGCCCACGGCCCTGGCTTGTGTCGCTGGCGTCTACCAGGCAGCGGGCGAAGCGGCCGGGGTCCAGAGAGGCCACAAGCGGCTCCACGAGCGCCAGCGTGCCCGAACGCTCCACCTCGCGCTCCACCTCCTTGTTGGTTGCCAACACCGCCACCGCGAGGCAGGCGTGCAGCCGCAGCAGCTCGTCCTCCTTGGAGAAGGCGAGCGGGAAGAGCCACTCGGCGGCGCGCTTCTCCACCATGCGCCGCTGCACCGCCTGGCCCCCGTGCAGCGCGCAGTTGGCCAGAGCCAGCGCGCAGTGTCGCAGCAGCGCGGTGTCCGTGCGGCGGCACCAGTACAGCACCGCGTCCAGGCCGCCGGCGGCCACCAGCTGCTGGCACGTCTCCTCCGAGTGCTTGAACATGTGCTCCAAGATGCCTGCCACGCTCCGCGCCAGCTCCAGGGGTTCGCGCTCCTTCGCCAGGTTCAGGATCACGCCCAGCCCGATGCGCGCCACGCGGTCCCTGCCAGGAGAGAGTGGAAGGGGTGGTGGAGTTGCGGCCGCCAGGGAAGCTCAGCTTGCCCGCTGGGTCGCCTAGCCTCTCTGGGCATCCTCAGTGTCACCTGGGGAAGAGCATTATCCTCCCTGCCCCCCTCACATTCACCTCTTGCCATGGGAGAAGCAGACTTCTCAGATTATAGGGATGCTCCATCCTGGCCACACGCATCCCCCCCGCCCCCACACACACACTCTGACCCCCTTGAAAAGCAGCACAGTAGCGGTTAAGAACGCCAGCTCGGGAACAGACCTCCTTGGTCCTGGTTTCTTCTCTGCTATGTTCTATTTTCTGTTTTCTAACTCTGCTATTTTCTCTGCTATTTTCTAAGGTCCTTGGACACTTTCCTTTATCTCTCCACTCCCGTTTTCTCTTCCCATAAATAGGAAAATAAGAATACCTACCTCATAGGATTATTATCAGGACTAATGAGATAATGCATAGAAAGTGCTTGGCAGACTGCCCGACCCATGGTAAAAATGCAACAAAATGTTAACTTATTCTTACTTGAAGTACACCACTCCCAGCCTTGCCTTTGAACTTGTCCTCACTCCATGCCCTGCAGCTGGGGTGTTTTCATTCATTGAACAGATGTTCATTGAGGACCTACCATCTGTCAGTCCCCGTGCTAGGGGCTGAGGTTAAGCTAAGACTGAGCGAGTCATCCTCCGCTACCGTGGGGGCAGACAGTGAGTCAACACCGAGTGAACAAGGTTGTAGTGCCGTGGCTGTGTGCTGGCTGGCCTGGGTGATGTGATGCAGTGTGCCTGGTGGAGGGACGTGTCTAAGGAGGTGATACCTGACAGCTGGATGTCAAGACACCCTCCCCCCCCAATGGAGCATAATAGGGAGAGAGAAGAGCAGGGATGAAGGCCCGAGGGCTGACGAGCTGGCATACATGAGGAATCGAAAAGAGGACAGAGACATTGCAATGTCTAACACCAACATGGAAAAATGTAAAATCAACAAAAGATTCACATATAGAATATATTAATAAAAATTCAAAGATTGGCTGGGTGCAGTGGCTCACGCCTGTAATCCTAGTACTCTGGGAGGCCGAGGCGGACAGATTGCTAGAGGTCAGGAGTTCGAAACCAGCCTGAGCAAGAGCGAGACCCCCATCTCTGCTATAAATAGACAGAAATTAATTGGCCAAGTAATATATGTAGAAAAAATCAGCCAGGCATGGTGGCGCATGCCTGTAGTCCCAGCTACTCGGGAGGCTGAGGCAGCAGGATCGCTTGAGCCCAGGAGTTTGAGGTTGCTGTGAGCTAGGCTGATGCCATGGCACTCACTCTAACCTGGGCAACAAAGCGAGACTCTGTCTCAAAGAAAACAAAAAAACCCCAAAGATCAATCATGGGGGCCCTTTGAGCCAACTCAGGCCATTTCCACCTTATTGTTATGTCAAATGGAAGCTCTGAGAAGCTCTAGGAAGGAGAGTGACCTGTTTAGGTGTGGGCTTTAGGAAACTCACGCTGGCTGCTATGGGGAGGACAGGTTCGAGAGAGAGCGCCTCTAGGCCAGCTCAGCAGGCAGGAGAGTTGTCACACTCCAGGCAGAGGTGCAGACTTCCTGCCTTACTGACCTCCACAAATGGTGTCCTCCACGGTTAATGTTATCCACAAAGACATAGAGGCCCAGCCCGCCATGGAGTCCTTGCCCTGTGGGCACCACAATGACCAGAGTGCATGTGACTTTGTGTCCACTGCAGGGTCCAGCTGAGTCCAGAACATGCCATAAGGCCAGTGCAGCTTTGCTGAGCTGATCACTCAGCTTCTCTGCAGCCCATCCTTAAAGGAACAAGTAGGTCCCCATCATCCACTGGGGCAGTTGTTCCTTTGACCAATGAGAAAACCAAAGCCCAGAGAGGTTACATGACATGCTCAAGAGCACACAGCTTCTGACAGGCACAGCTGGGATTTGCACCCAGGCCTATTTGTCTCCAGAGTTTAAGGTCCTTCATCTTCACTTTGGGCTTCTAGACATCTGACTACATAAACTTCTAGAATATCACAGCCAAGACATGCTTAAGACATTATCCAATCCAACACCTTTTCAGAGGACTGATAATCTAAGGCCCAGTGCAGGGAAGGGCTTGCTTAGAAGTATCAATTCAGAGCTAAGACTTTATTCTGAGTCTCTTGCTCCCCTGCCCTCGCCTTTCCCTATGCACTTGGCACCTCTACAGAGTTGAACTCCATGCTGTTGTGAGAACTATTAACTCAGATCCCAATTCTTCTGTGGTCTGAGAGGCTATGGGTCTGGTGAAATGGGCATATACTTTGGAGTCACATAGGTCTGGGCTCAAATCCTAGCTCCAAAGGAGGGGAAAACTATATATATAATGAGCATGAATATATACCATATGTGAATATATGCAAATGCTTATATATACATAGACACAGGAAGGACATACAAGAAACTCATTACAGTGATTTGCCTCCAGGGAATCATTTGCAACCAGGGTTCTGTTTGGGAAGAATTTTTTTTTTCTTTTTCCTTTGGTTTTTTTTTTGTTTGAGATAGAGTCTCACTCTGTTGCCTGGGCAAGAGTGCCATGGCATCAGCCTAGCTCACAGCAACTTCAAACTCCTCGGCTCAAGTGATCCTCCTACCTCAGCCTCCCGAGTGGCTGAGACTACAGACATGTGCCACCATGCCCAGCTAATGTTTATATATATATATATTTTTTTTTTTTAGTTGTCCAGCTAATTTTTTTTCTTTTCTTTTCTTTTTTTTTTTTTTTTAGACAGGTCTCGCTTTGTTGCCCAGGCTAGAGTGAGTGCCGTGGCATCAGGCTAGCTCACAGCAACCTCAAACTCCTGAGCTCAAGCAATCCTACTGCCTCAGCCTCCCGAGGAGCTGGGCTACAGGCATGTGCCACCATGCCCGGCTAATTTTTCTACATAGTTACTGTGGGCAATAATTTCTTTCTATTAGATAGTAGAGATGGGGTCTCGCTCTTGCTCAGGCTGGTTTTGAACTCCTGACCTTGAGCAATCCGCCCGCCTCAGCCTCCCAGAGTGCTAGGATTACAGACATCAGCCACCAGGCCCGGCCTGGCTAATTTCTTTCTATTTCTTTAGTAGAGACGGGGTCTCACTCTTGCTCAGGCTGGTCTTGAACTCCTGAGTTCAAACTATCCTTCCACCTCAGCCTCCCAGAGTGCTAGGATTACAGGCATGAACCAACAGGCCCAGCCTGGGAAGAACTTTTAAATGTATGCCTTTTCTTGTACCTTTGCATTTTTTGAACGTATGTAAAATAGCATTCTGTTTTTTAAAAACCTGTCTCCTCCATTTATTCAATGCATTTTCTTTTTTTTCTTTTTCTTTTTTTTTTTTTTGAGACAGAGTCTCGCTTTGTTGCCCAGGCTAGAGTGAGTGCCGTGGCGTCAGCCTAGCTCACAGCAACCTCAAACTCCTGGCTCAAGCAATCCTCCTGCCTCAGCCTCCCAAGTAGCTGGGACTACAGGCATTCGCCACCATGCCCGGCTAATTTTTTTTTTGTATATATTAGTTGGCCAATTAATTTCTTTCTATTTATAGTAGAGATGGGGTCTCGCTCTTGCTCAGGCTGGTTTCGAACTCCTGACCTCGAGCGATCTGCCCGCCTCGGCCTCCCAGAGAGCTAGGATTACAGGCGTGAGCCACTGCGCCCGGCCTATTCAATGCATTTTCTTAGGAAAGCCACTTACCCTCTCTGAGGATACATTTATTAGGTTTCCTGAGGGTCGTGGGCTTTGAATTTAGAGGGCTAGCAGTCAGATGGGGCCCTCGCTGGGTGTTGTGGTCCCAGGCTCAAAGAACCCTATCCTGTCGGACTTCTCCTGGTAGCTGAGGGTGAGGGAAACTGTGATGTAGGCTCCTGGGCAGTGGGTGCAGCAGCACCCTGGGAAGAAGACAGCAAGAAGGGAAATGGCAAAAAGGGGTTGGCACACTGATGGAAGAGCCTTCTTTAATCAGAGGCAGTGGGGCCTTGACTGGTGAAGGAGGAAAAGGTTTCATAAACAAAAATTCTCAGTGTGTCTCTCCCCTCCTCTCCCTTCCAGCCCCTTTCTCTCCCAGTCTATAGGGGTGGAGAGACTCTGCCTTTCTTTGGAAGGATTTTGATCCACCAGGAGCAATGTGCTCTGTCCTTGGTCCTGAAGCCACACTGGCATCAGCATGATGTTTCTTGGGACCAGGGACACCAGTTAGTGACTCTTCCCTCAGTAACTCTGAACCAGGTGAGGATCCTCATTTTTTCCCCCTGAGACAAGGACTTACTCTGTCACCTGGCTAGAGTGCAGTGGCACCATCATAGGTCACAGCAATCTCAAACTCCTGGGCTCAAGCGATCCTCCTGCCTTAGTTTCCCAAGTAGCTGGGACCACAGGCATGTGCCACCACACCTGGCTAATTTTTTCTATTTGTTGTAGAGATGGGGTCGCACTCTTGCTCAGGCTGGTCTCCAACACACTTGGTCCTCAAGTGATACTCCCACCTCAGCCTCCCACAATGCTAGGATTATAGGTGTGAGCCACCAAGCCTGGCTGAGGATCATCATTTTTAATCTTGAGAAATATCAGTACTGTTTGCATCTTGCAGCCTTCCTCTTTCTAGGGTGCTGCACCATCCTCCAGGGGCTCTAGTTGGAGCTGCCTCACCCCACATATCAAGCCTACAGGGCACACCTGCCAACCGCAGCCCCACCACACCCAGTGACCATGCACTCCATTTGCTAGCTCTCCAGACTCATGGACCGTCCCCATCTGGGCACCTGACATCAGATGGGAGGGTAATGACTTGCTTGAATAAGCACAACCCTATGGGGGTCTTCCAACCTAAATTGTTTAATCCATTCATGCATTTTTGACAATTGTATCATTTCTGGCAATCACAAGGTGAATTTTCTTTTTGAAAATGGTATCACACTTGTGAGAGTTGCATGAGCTGAAAGTGACTCTTCCAAAACTCTTCTAAGTTTGAGGAGCCTGAGACTTCAGCATGAGACTGGAGTGTGGCAGCTTGGTCTGCTCTGGCATCAGAGGGGAGGGAAAGTGAGCCCTCAGGGGTCTTCTTACTCCAGGGGAGATCCCAAGAAGCAGCAAAAGAGTGGCAGCCAGGCCTCGGTTTGACACCACTCAGTGTGTCTTGGTACCATGGGGAGTGGGGGAGAGAACACATTCTGTCTGGCCCTGCTTAGCTCTGCACCTCAGTGTCCTCTTGCCCCACCCAATAAATGTATCCAGCAGAAAACTTTCTGTTCCCTGTCAGCAGCTGCAGAATGAGATCATGTCTGGTCTGTTATGTGGACCAGGATGGAGAAGGATGAAGCAGGAGGTGGGCTGGGGCAGCGCGAAGGGAGTGAGCAGTCTCAGGCCAGCACTCATTTTAGCCTGGGGAGGAGGGGAAGAGAGGTCTCCCTCCCTCTTGGTTCCCTTCCTCTCCTGTTGGGCAGCGGAGGAGGTGGGGAGCATGAGGGGGAGAGAAAATGTCACAGAAGGGCACCCAGGCCTTTAGGGGAGAGGGCTGTGGGTTTAGGCGGGCATTGGCAACAGTACGCCATCTCCATCCATAGAACCAGGGACAGGATCTTGTTCTGCTACTCCGTTCCTCCCCTCCCTGTCTCCATTGCTCTCCCCACTGGCCCTGAGAGTGAATCCTGGCTGCACCATTAGTTCACTGTGTGACGCTGGGAAAGACATTAAACTTTCCCGAGCCTCAGTTTCCTCATTTGTAAAATGGACACACTGATCCCTAACAGAAGCATAGGGCAGGGAGGCAGCGAGGTGAGGCGGGCACAGTGCAGGGCACACAGGAGACCCAAGTACTCAACCGCCCTCGCCGCCCCCCCCCCCCCCCCCCCCCGCGCGCTCTTCCCTACCGGGCCCGCGCCCTCACCGGTTCTCAGCCACCAGGATCTGCTCCAGCAGGCGCGCGGCCTGCACGCGAGTCTCCAGCTCCGGCGCCTGCAGCAGCCGCAACAGCAGGTCGAGGCCACCGTCCAGGCGGATGGCGTCGCACAGACCCTGGGCCACCTCGCGGCCCACGGCCGGCAGCAGCCAGGCTTCCTCCACCAGCTGGAAGACCTCGGCCAGGCTGGCGCCCACGGCCCGCGCGCCGCCCGCCTGCTTCAGCGCCGACAGCGCCTGCTGCAACTCCGGCAGCGCGCGCTCCAGGGCGCCCTGCACCTCGCAGCCCACCCCAGGCGACACCTCGCGGGGCCCGCGGCCGCCCGCAGCCCACCACGGGCCCGCGCCACCGCCCCCATCCGACCCTGGCACCGCCAGCCGCTCGGCGCCCGGCCGTGGCCCTGACATGGCGAAGAAGCGACACAGCCGGTGGGCGGAGAACAGCAGCGTCAGGACCATGGGCGCGGGCCTGCGGGGGACATCCCCGGCCTGGAGGAGCGGGGCTGGGCGGAGAGGCCTGGACCTTGGGAAAAGCGGGACCCGCGAGGGGACCAGGGGGAAGAAGATGCAGGAGGAGGAGTGCAGAGGAGGATACCAGGCAAGGGCACCGGCCAGAAGTTTGGGGGAGGAGCGAGGGCAGAGTCAGGGCTCAGAGGTTGAGGAAGGGGTGGCGGGCCCAGATGAAGGAAGGGGGCAGGAGGAGGCGGCAGGGAGGCGAGAGAGGGATCCAGACGCCTGGGGCCGGAGGAGGCAGCGGCCGGAACAAAGCCGGGTTGGAGCTCCGGCTCCGCTAGCCACAGGATGCTCGGTGGCAGCCACGCCCCTGAGCGGCACCTCTCCGCCGGCCGCCGCCCCGCCAGTGGGCCCCGCGGGGCCCCGCCCCGGCCGCACAGCCCCACCCCCAAGCCTTTCCTAGCCACGCCCACGCCCTGGCCCCGCCTCCTCCCTCTTGTCGGTCCCCACCCCCAGCGCTGAATGTGGAGGGAAGGGATGGAGAGCAAGAGGACGGCCCCCCCACCCCGTGACACTAGTTCACAGCAGCTACACCGCTGTGTGCCCCCTCCCCTAGCAGTGGCTAAACCTATCATAACGCCTCTGTACAACTCTTAAGGCCCTTTTATGCCTGTTATGTCAGCTAAGCCTCACAACATGCCGATGGGCCAGGCTCCTTGTATAGCTGACTGAAGCCACAGTCACACTCCCCTCTGATTACGGGACAGAAAAAGTCAGCTGAAAACTCAGGATCCCTTCCTTCAGGTGCGGGGGGGATTTCAGAAGGTCTGTGGATGCCTGAAATTGGCCACACAATCAGGCGTTCTGTGCCTGCGGACATTTTCTGGGTAGATGATATTTTTCATGAAAGTCTAAAAGTGTGCTGAACAAGCCCACTCTGTAGATGGGGAGACTGAGGGTGGGGACAGAGTGGTCTACCCAGGATCTGTGAATCAGTGAAAGGCTCAGAAATCAAATCCAGTCTGGTGGGTTAGTAGTCACGGGTTCCTATCTGCCAAGACCAGTTTCGGGAAATGGCTGCACCCAAGGGAAGAACCTACAAATGAAACTTTGTTATTTTAAGATAAAAAAGAAAATTTCCCAGAGTGATCACCATCTCTCCTCCCACTGCCTTTTTGCTGCCCTAAAAAAACAACGGGTGGCTGGGTACCTGGCCAGGGATGTGTGTGATCAAACAAATCATGGATCGATAACCATTCTGGGAGAATGAATTTGGGGCTGCTCCAGCTACTGGGCATTTTGTCTGTGCTAGCTCATGTAATTGCCTAACACCCCATGAGGCAAGGTTTTATTTATTTATTTAATTAATTAATTTTTTTTGAGACAGAGTCTCACTCTGTTGCCCAGGCTAGAGTGCCATGGTGTCAGCCTAGCTTACAGCAACCTCAAACTCCTGGGCTCAAGCAATCCTCCTGCCTCAGCCTCCCGAGTAGCTGGGACTACAGGCATGTGCCACCATGCCCAGCTAAATTTTTTTCTATATATTTTTAGTTGGCCAATTAATTTCTTTGTATTTATAGTAGAGACGAGGTCTTGCTCTCTTGTTCAGGTTGGTTTCAAACTCCTGACCCTGAGTGATCCTCCCGCCTCGGCCTCTCAGAGCGCGCTAGGATTACAGGCATGAGCCACCATGTGAGCCACTGGGCCTGGCCAAGGCAAGGTTTTATTAGTCCCATTTTACTAAAAAGAAAACTAAGGCTGGGAGAGGCAGAGCTGCTGTGAGTGAGTGACAGAGTGGGCCTTCTTTCTGCCCTCCAGACCCACCACACTGTTCTCCCTTCTGATGACCTGAGCTTGGCAAGGGTCCTATCTGCCAACAATCCCCAAGGCCCCGTGTTCCTGGAATGTGACCCTTTGCTGCAGCAGCCTCTGGAGTGCACGAACTGGGGGATGGGCTGGGGATTGAGCAAACCCAGCAGCAGAAAGGGCACCTCCTCTTCTCTAGTTCCCTCCCTGCCTCCGCCCCTCCCTCCCTCCCTCCCTCCCTCAGGCGGCAGAGGAGAGGCCTCAGGGAGCGCAGAGCCCAGCTTGCCGGGCACTCAGCTAGAGGACCCACCATGGCACCTCCAGGGCCCCTTCTCATGCTGGCCCTGCTGGGATGGGTCGTGCTGGCTGACCAAGGTGTGGAAGGGTGGCCATCGGGGACACTGTAGGGTGAGTGAGGGTGGCCCCGGCTTGGCTGTGCCAACTGACACCCCTTCCTCATAGAGTCATGCAAGGGCCGCTGCACTGAGGGCTTCAACGTCAACAAGAAGTGTCAGTGCGACGAGCTGTGCTCTTACTACCAGAGCTGCTGCGCCGACTACGTGGCCGAGTGCAAGCCCCAAGGTATGTTCGGAGCCCAGGTGGGTGGTCCTGGGGTCGCTTTGCAGCTGGAGACTCACCCCCACCCGCTGTGTCTGCAGTGACTCGAGGGGACGTGTTCACTCTGCCGGAAGATGAGTACCGGGACTACGAGTACCCTGTCGAGTCCAAGGACAACTCCAGCATGCAGGCACAGACGGATGTGCCGGCCTTGCCCGAGGAGAACACTGAGCAGCCACCTGTTCAGAGCCCTGTAGAAGAGGCCCCCAGGCCCGAGGAGGAGGTCCCAAGGCCTGAGACCCTTGACCCAGGGACCCCTGAGTCCACGGCAGAGGAGGAGGTGTGCAGTGGGAAGCCCTTTGACGCCTTCACGGACCTCAAGAATGGTTCCCTGTTTGCCTTCCGAGGTGACTGCAGGGGCAGGTCTCGAGGGCGGAGGTCTGCCCGGGGAGCGTCCTCTCCCTCACACAGCCTCCCCGCCTCTAGGGCAGTACTGCTATGAGCTCGATGAAACGGCCGTGAGACCCGGGTATCCCAAGCTCATCCGAGACGTCTGGGGCATTGAGGGCCCTATCGATGCCGCCTTCACCCGCATCAACTGCCAGGGGAAGACCTACCTCTTCAAGGTGCTGGGCCCAGGGGCTGCGGGGCAGGGCAGGGGGCTTCGAGGGAAGGTTTGAGAGCTGTTCCCTGGGCCGGGGTGGACATGAAAGCTGGAGCCGGGGCCTTGCAGAACCTGGCTGGGGACTCTGCCTCTGTGCCCAGCCAGCTGTCTCCAATGCCCCTTTTCACCTTCCCTGCCTCTTAGGGTAGTCAGTACTGGCGCTTCGAGGATGGTGTCCTGGACCCTGATTTTCCCCGAAACATTTCTGAAGGCTTCAAAGGCATCCCGGACAACGTAGACGCAGCCTTGGCCCTCCCTGCGCATAGCTACAGCGGCCGGGAGCGGGTCTACTTCTTCAAGGGTACTCAGGGGATGGGTGGGAGGATGGGCAGGGAGTCGAGCTGCCTTGGTTTCCTTCCATGCCTCACTGGGAAAAAGCCTCAGCGTGTGTCCACCCCGTGCCGGGAGCTCCTCACCCCGACAGCCTCTGGGCTCCCCAGCCTTGCTCAGGCCGCCCCTCCTGATGCCCGCGCCCTGCTCCCCAGGGAAACAGTACTGGGAGTACCAGTTCCAGCAGCAGCCCAGCCAGGAGGAGTGTGAAGCCAGCTCCCTGTCGGCCGTGTTTCAGCACTTTGCCCTGCTGCAGCGGGACAGCTGGGAGGACATCTTTGAGCTTCTCTTCTGGGGCAGACCCTCCGGTAGGGAGGGAGGGCAGGAGGGCTGGGATGTCCCCGGTAGGGGTAGGCCTGGGCTGGCTGGAAGGAGCTGTGACTGTGGCGCTATCGATCAAGTGCTGTTTGCTCAGGCCAGACTTTGCTTCTGTTGACCTTTGGGGGAGGCTGGCCTCCCCCTGGACCCCACGCCTTGGACTTTGTCTAGCACAGCCAAGGGCACAGCCAGCAGAGGGAGGGACTGTGGCTGAGGGGTCAGGGACGCCTCGGGGTCAGGGTGGGGACACCAAGGATATGGTGGAGGGAGCACAGGGGAAAAAGCACTGGACAGGGAGTCAGAGGCCTGGGTGCAATCAATGAACTCTAAAGGCCCTGCTGGAGGGGCCAGGGTGAGGGCCCTCAAGGCCCCCCATTAACCCCTTCCCTGTCACAGGTGGTACCAGACCACCCCAGTTCATCAGCCGGGACTGGCATGGCGTGCCTGGGCAGGTGGACGCGGCCATGGCCGGCCACATCTACATCTCGGGCTCGGCACCCCGCTCCTCCTGGGCCAAGAAACAAAAGGCTAGTCGACGCAGCCGCAAACGCTACCGTTCAAGCCGCAGCCGCAGCCGCAGCCGTGGCCAGAACTCCCGCCGGGGGTCCCGTTCGGCCCTGCTGTCCTGGTTCTCCAGTGAGGAGAGCGGGCTGGGCACCTCCAACTACGACGACTACGGGATGGACTGGCTCGTGCCCGCCACCTGCGAGCCCATCCAGAGCGTCTTCTTCTTCTCGGGAGGTGGGAGCCCTTGCCCCCCTGAAGGTGGTCTAGCCTGGGACTTCTCTGCTGGCCCTGGTCCCCACAGGCTAAACACAGCCTGCGGTTGGTGACTCCAGAAGGCCAGGCCAGCTGTGTTGTGGATGTTCACTGTCCCTTCTGGGAGAGACCTAGGCGTTTCTCCTTCAGGCAAGAGGGGGCAGGGCCCGGCTGGGTCTTACACACCTTCTCCTGTCCTCTCTTCCAGACAAGTACTACCGAGTCAACCTTCGCACGCGGCGAGTGGACACTGTGAACCCTCCCTACCCTCGCTCCATTGCCCAGTACTGGCTGGGCTGCCCAGCGCCTGGCGACAAGTAGGAGTCGAGCCCACCCGCCATAGCTTCCCCTTCAGCTTCTTTCTCCCAGCCCAATAAAGGTCCCTTGGCCCACAGTTTAAGACTACTGTCTTGATCTTTTTGTAGTTCGTAAGGGTGATGATTGGGTTTTCACGCTCATGTGTGAGATGTGCCTACCTTAAGCCTTGTTAGGATATTGACACCCATCTGATGTGAAAAAGAAAAAGAAAAAAAGACTACAGTCCTGACTGGGGTGGCCGGACTCCAGCGTGGGGGACAGAGGGAGCTGGGCTCTCCCGATAGGTCAGTGTGGCCCAGGAGAGCCTCGCTGTACTCAGCCGTGTCGGGTCAGGCCCTATGGGCTGGGAGGACCTCACGAGAGCCACCCTTCCTGCTGATCCAAGTAGCCCCCAACAACCCGCCAGCAGCTACGCAAGCATTTGAGCCCCTCCGACGATGACAGAAGTTACCTCCCTGGGCGATGCTTGCTTTGCCCCTTGGAGTTGACTGCAGTGTTGGAGAGCGGAGGAAGAGCAAGAGGTGGTGGGTCCTATCCTAGCTTTTTGTCCACCCTGAGTCTGCAATCCAGTTAGCTCAGGCTCCTGAGCACCCGGGAAACCGGTGACTGAGCCCCCAAAACACTGCTAGGGTGAGCCTTTCTTTGAGGCCTCCGGCTAGGGTCTGGGGTGGGCGACAGTGAGATCAGAAGCAATATGCTAGGGCAGGAACTGAAAGGAAATTCAAATGTAGCCTCTTTTCTTAGAAAAGTACCCTAGAAGACATCCAAGGAAGAGAATATTATAAACATAGACATTTTTCTTGAAGTGCTTCAATCGCACCTGTGGAGCCTTCTCTGGTTCCTGGACTCCAGGAAGCCCATCTGGGCTCTCCAGGGGCCAGAGAGAGAGGGGGTTATACACAGACACAGCTCTAAAGCAGACCCCAGGGTGATCTGGTGGTGACATCTGTTCCCAGCCCTGCTGAGAGCAGGTGGCTCCCGCTCCTCCCACTGTCACCCTATCCTCCTCGTCCTGCCCAGCTTCACTAGCCCAGTCCTCAGCTGTGGGATAGAACGCCACCCACGCTCCCTTGAAGACAGCCAGGACCAGGGCACTAAGGGCTCCAGAAGGGGCAGCTGACACCCTGGGAGCACTGGGGAGATGGCTCTCTTTGGCTTCCTGGAAGGAGCCCGGGGGGGATTTTCATGAAGTGCAGGATTTCAGGTACAGACTGCCGGAGTTTGAGGTTTGAGGAGGGAGGCTGGGACCAGCTTCTTTTGTGAAGCCCTGGAGGGGCAGGGGCCACAAAACTTGCCCTGATCATACCCCCCTAAGCCCCAACCCTGCCCCTGGCCTTCCCTTCTTCCCCGGAGACTTCTCTACCCTGCTTGAACTGGACTCTAAACCTCTCCCCTCCTGAAGCCGGGCCAGACACCCTGAGCAGGATAGACCCCAATGGAGAGGTCTGGTGTGGGCACAGCCCTGGCATGGCCCTCTGGCTCCTCGTCCTCTGCCAGCTCCATGGCCAGCCCAGTGGATGCATCCCCAGCAGGTGACCTGGTGGGCAAAGGGTGGGCAGGGTGAGGATGTGGGGCAGGTGGGCGGGGAAGGTGGAAGAGGTCTGGGAGTAGGGGCTTCATGGTCGGTGGAGGGCTTTGAGGCTGGAGGGAGGCTGTTGCAGGGAGTCCTGGCTTGATCCCCACCCTGGCCTGCAGGCCGTGCCAGTGGGTTGGGTCCCCACCGGAGAAAGCGGACCACTTTCAGCAGGGGGCAGCTGCTGGAGCTGGAGCGGGCGTTTGCAGCACGGCCCTACCCCGACATCGGCACCCGTGAGCGCCTGGCCCAGGTCACCCGCCTTCCTGAAGCCAAGATACAGGTGAGCTGTGACCCCCTCTCCAGGTAGGGCTACCCTCAGACAGCCAGCTTCTGGGTGTGACAGCTCCTTCTCTCTGGGTAACCTGTCTTCAGGTTCTATGTTCCCTGCCCCGGGGTCGAGGGGGTGCCAGAACCAGAACAGACCCCTTCTCCTTCCCTAGCAGGTGTGGTTCCAGAACCGCCGCGCCAAGAGAATCAAGAACAGGAAGCCAGGAGGTCTAAGCTCCAGGCCTGAACCCCCTCTGGGCTCCTGTTCTCTTCCAGACACCCTCCAGCAGCCCTGGGAGTCCCGAGAGCTGGGGCAGCCGCCACCCTCCCCTGGCACACTTCAGCCTGCCTCAGTGTGTCGACATGGCTCTTACCCAGCTGCTAGCTTGGGTCCAGGGCAAGGCTGGGTGGTGGCTAAAGTCACAGCCCCATGGGGACCAGCTGAAGCTTTAGGGGTCCACCCTTCCTTGGAGCGAGCTACTGCCCAAACCTCTTTGGGCAGCCTGTCTGACCTAATCTATGCCTCGGCCATTGTCACCAACGTGGACCACTCCTAATCTCCAGAACTTGCAAGACCCCTCCTCTGGCTCCCGTAGCCCACCCTTTCCCTCCTAGGACTGAAGACATCAGAAGGGGATCCCGTTCTCTCCTTTTACCCAGGGAGTTCTCCCATGGGAAGAGAGTTTAGCTCAGGGCCTCGTCCCTTCCACTGGCCTCCAGGCCAGCCCAGGTGCAGGCCCTGTGCAGACTGGGGCTTGGCTCCCGCTGCCCAGCGCCCTGGCCCCTCCTGGGCACATGCCCATCATTTCAGGAGGTACCTTTGGAAGGATGAGGTAGGAGGCCATGTTTTTCACCTCTCCTGCCAGGCTTGGTCCCCAGTTCTTCTCACGGTAGCTGACAACCTCCTTTCTCCGAAGGGGCAGCCGCCTGTCTCTTGAGGGCTCTTCAGGCCATTAGCTAACTGTTAAGTGAGCTGGGAGAGGAGAGCGCTGTTCCTAATCTAAGCGGCTGGAGACCCACCCTTTCTTGGTTCAGGGCCCCTCTCCAGACTTCCTACCACCTGGACAAATTAATCAGAACTATGGATCTGAAGAGGGGGTGCTATTAAAGTAATAAAGTAAGAATAGGAGCCCAGGGCTTATGTTGATTTAATTTTCACAAAGATCAGATTGATGTGGGGCTCTGCAAACAACCTGACAGATTTAGGGCAGAGGGGGGCACAGCAGCATTGATTGGGTTTTGGTATCACTGTCATCTGTAATACCAACTAATCTCCAAATAAAACCCAAACTCTGCACCTTAATCTGGATTGTTTTGTGCTGCAAATGAATGGGGCTGTGGGCTGTGTGCCTTGGAAATTTATCTCCATCACCTAATCCCTAAACAGGGCCAGGTTCCACACAGATTCTGGGTGGGAGGTATTACCCAGGCTTCTGCTAGGATTAGAGGGATGGTTAATTGAAGGGCTTAGGGATCTGACTGACAGACCCTGGGGAGATGGGAGGCTCTGCTGGCACCCCCTGCTCCTGGTCCCACTGATTCCAGTTGCCTACACTTCTGGGGCCGCTCTGCTTTGGAGACAAAAGCAAACAGTTTGCAGGCTGCACTGGATTCAAATCCTGATGCTATTGCGTAACCATGGCAACTCTGAAATTCTATGTGCCTGAAAAGCAGGGATGAAACTTGTTTCCTGTTTTGGGAATAAGAAAAACTAATGTAGGTAAAGGGCTTCACATGGTGTGTGACTCAATAAATGCTAGTTCCCTCTCCTTCTCCATACTGGAAGCCATGAGAAACTAGGAAGGACCAGTTTGTCCTCTGAGCTCCTGGCAAGCACTCTCTGGACCGAGAGTACACTGGAGAAAGCACAGTACGGTGAGAGGAAGTGGCTGAGGGAAGGGAAGGCACCCTTCTCTGTGCTGAGAACTGGAGGACAGGCTGCTTGGTTCCAGTCTCTAACTCTGCCCATGTAGACAAAACCCACATTGCACAGTGGCCATTTCTTCCTCATTACTCGCTAGGCAGGAACTAGGTATTTTATCTACCCCCAGAAACTAGCACAGTGCCTGGCCCATACAGCAGCTTTCAGTACGTGCTCAGCACTACAGAAGTCTGTTGGCTTGTGAGCAGGGGGTTGGGATCTGGTGAACACCCCATCCTAAGAAATGGTGAGTGGGATGGAATGACCCTGATTTCACTGTGAGATGTCCTGGCATCAGAGTCCGTTTGAGGAGGCCTGCTTTTTACCTGACACTTGGAAGTCTTCCAACCTAAATCCACGTACCTGAGGGATATGGAAGCTTAAGGAGATGTGGCACCCTGGCCCACAGGTTGCAACACAGGTTAAGTACAGCCATGAATTTCCACAAAGCTTTATTCATGGTAGCTTTTTAGCTCAATCTTAAATAGTTCAGTTTATTAGGAACACCGTAAAACACCACCTACTTTTTCTTCTCACAGGTGACTCCTTTTCCCAACTAACAGAAACTGGCAAACATTGTAGAGGAAATGTTTACTGAGCTCATGAGTATAAAATTTGTAAGCACAGAAAAGTGCTTTGGAAAATAAAAAACAAAGTACAGGAATGCATATAGTGAACAAACAAAGACATAGTCTACCATTTGAAGCAGGCCCTGAATAATTATCAAAACTATAGACATCTTTGCATTTTGTGTTATTTGTCACAGGATTTAAAATAAGAATACACTGAATACAATACATATTTATTGAATAAATAACTAAGGTAGATACCCTTGTACATTATACAGTGCATTGTATAGATTCTATCATCACACCATTAACCTAAGTTCTCAGAAGTTAAACATTATAGGTACTTCAGGACAAATAGGAGTCTTTGGCTCCATTTAACCGAGAAAGGACCACAGCTGGTCATTGGATCTTTCTAAGTCTAAGGTTTTATCTTCTGGAAAAGGAGCCTAATACCATTTCCTTTTCCAAAAAGTTAGCTGCCTTGTTTCCATTTCCACTATCCTGTACCAACCCATCTTTCTCTTATTTGCTGTCTGTCCTCTGATCACTTCTTCTTCCCACATAAACTGGAAAAAGGGGATCCTTTCTGCTTTCTTGGAGGCTTCTGATCTCAATTACAGGTCTGGACCAAAGATGTATGGAAAAGGATGGTGACTGATTTGTGCACTTGGACAAGTTCAAGGCAGTGTGGTCTACTTCTGGGAATGCCTGGATTCCATTTACTTCTGATGGAAAAACCCCAGTCCAAGCAGTGCCCAGAAAGGAACGGAGAAGGCAGATGGGCACCAGGTTCAGGAGAAGGTACTGATAGACCAATCCTTTTAGTTTTAAAGATGTGTTGTTGTCTGAATCTTCTCCACTTCTCCCTCTGGAAATTCACAGATGGGGGTGCTCTACCACAGGAAGGCCAGGGGGCCTGGCCGGGTCCTCTAACTGTAGCTGAGTATAAACAGACTGATGGATTGACTAAGAGTCAGTGATAGGCAGTTGGAACCTGAAGCAACCAAGCCTTCTCCAGACTTTGATGCTGAAACACCAGTTATAGCTCTCCCAACTCGCCTTCCATTGCCCGCACCATGACAAAGAGCTCGGCCAGACCCACCACTGAGGCGACGATCAATGCAGCCAGCACCCGCTGCAAAGGGGGAGAACCAGGCTTAGGGGATGCAGGCCAACACCAGCTTTGCAGCCCCCAGCACCTTTAATGAGGATGGAGAGCCCCCCAACCCAGGCCCTAAGTTGGGGGAGGGGAAGAAAAGAGGATCTGGCTTTTCTTGGGGTTATTACCGCACCCCCCCCCAATGCTGGAAAGCTCAAATGCTCCCCTTGCTCACCGCATAAATATCTGTTCAATATCTAACCTGTGCAAGGCACATTCACATTCATCCTCCTTTCCCCATGAATACTCCTACCTGGGGCACATTGTCCTGCCCAGTGCCTACTCACCGGGGCCATTTCTGTGAAGATATACTGGCTTCCAAGGTAAGTGCAGACAAATGCAGCTGCCACTGTGACAATGAAGTTGAAGACGGCAATTACCAGAGCCTTCACTGATCTCACTTAGGGGAGGAGCCCAGAGAAGAAACCTTTAGATCAGTATTCTCCAGGAGGCCGTATCTCGTGGTTGCCTACACATCCCATTCCCCCCACCCCATCAACTGGGTTTCCCTCAAATAGCAAGCCAGAATAGCTCAGCCTTAGAACCAGAGCATTGGGTGCAAAGGAGTGCCACAACCCAGCCTAGGAAGAGGCTTTAGCAGCCTGGTTTCCTAGTACGTCACCTTGCTTTCCCAGGTCACTGAGAGTCCCACCATGCCTTGAATCCTGGGAAAAAGAAAAAGCAGACCTCAGATTGGAAGCAGCCCAGAGAGCACCCATTTTACAGTCTGGCCTTAGCCCTCTCCTCTCTATTTCCCAATATATTAACTCTGCCTTCTCCATGGATTCTTTTGCTTAGGATCAGTTTGGCTTTTTCTGGACTACAGAGTAAGCATTTCAGAAAGAGAACATAGGCTCCCAGTACCCATCTACTCCTCTCCGGCTGCAGGGCAGAAGCATGCCAGAGAATAGTCGGGAGCCCTGACAGAAGAAAGGCTCCAAGGCTCATCCCCACTTCTACGATTTAAGAATTGGTCATCATCTCAGCCCAGAGTCTCAGTGAATGAGTTGGGAAGTATACTTAGTTTGCATGCAACATGGAACTCCTGTGGTTCCTGCATACTATATAGACCAAATTTCCATGTTGTTTCTATCCTCTGTACCTCTTTCCAATGCAGGGCCCTGCTTTCAGGGGCTACTCAATCCATGTATTCAAGAACAGACACTTACTTGACAGGTGACATTGCGGGTGATCCGCTTATATTCCTCATTGGCCAGCTGTATCTTAATCTTCTCCAGCCGGGCAACTAGCTCTGGGTTCTGAACCAGAAAAATCAAATGAGAATGATATTCCCAGCTTGCCAGTAAGTAGGTCACAATCATTGGTTCCAAAGGGAAAACACTGCTAAGGGTGCCAGGAGATCCACATACCCTTTATTTATTTATTTTTATTTTTTTGAGACAAAGTCTCGCTTTGTTGTCCAGGCTAGAGTGAGTGCCATGGCATCAGACTAGCTCACAGCAACCTCAAACTCCTGAGCTCAAGCAATCCTACTGCCTCAGCCTCCCAAGTAGCTGGGACTATAGGCATGTGCCAAAAATGCCCGGCTAATTTTTTCTATATATATTAGTTAGCCAATTAATTTCTTTCTATTTATAGTAGAGACGGGGTCCTGCTCTTGCTCAGGCTGGTTTCGAACTCCTGACCTTGAGCAATCTGCCCGCCTTGGCCTCCCAGAGTGCTAGGATTACAGGCGTGAGCCACCGCGCCCAGCTTAGATACCCTTTATACACTGCTTTAGAAACTGTCTTTTTGTATTTCAGTTTCCCAAGCTGTCCAACAGGAAGGACAATATCTGGTTCTCACATTCTACATCCCAGAGATTTAAAGGACACATTTTTCAAGCCCAAAAGTTGATTCATACATTCAATATATCATGAATAAGCCTAACTCAGCCACTACCCACTCTCACAAATATATCCCTTACATACCCGGGGAGGCTTAACAACCTCTGGGAGATAGATTTCACTGCCTTCCAGGAGCTCATGAAGGTATAGTGTGGAACCTGAGAAGAAAAAGTTTCCACAAATGTAGTGATGCATAGAGCTGAGGCTGAACAGTTAAATCAGAAAGGGTCTAGCCCTTCTTTCTACCAAAATAAATATAGCCATCTCTGTATTAGTCCATCTCCAGGATCATTTTCAATTGGGAAGAATTTAAGATAATTCCACATAAGTATCTCCTAGTGCTAAACAGCTGACTTTAGCTATCAGCTCTCAATTATCTTTCCCACATTACAACTAACACACAAGCCTTTTGTATTTGCCTTTGCATTAGATCGTTTCTGTGGCCACAGGAGTGCTGCCCTAAATAGGTTTAGGTCACAGTGATGTTAATTTTTTTTTTTGAGACAGAGTTTCACTGTGTTGCTCAGGCTAGAGTGCCGAGCTGTCAGCCTAACTCACAGCAACCTCAGTCTCCTGGGCTCAAGCAATTCTGCTGCCTCAGCCTCCCAAGTAGGTGGGACTACAGGCATGCACCACCTGTATGCCTGTAAACATATATAATGAAAAACATATATATATATATAGAAAAACATATAAAATGTTTTTCTATACATATATATTATTTTTTTTAGTTGGCCAATTAATTTCTTTCTATTTATAGTAGAGACGGGGTCTCACTCTTGCTCAGGCTGGTTTCAAACTCCTGACCTTGAGCAATCCGCCCGCCTTGGCCTCCCAGAGTGCTAGGATTACAGGTGTGAGCCACCGTGCCAGGTCCACAGTAATGTTAAATACTCAGGGGACACTGTACTAGGTGATCTCTTTTCAACATCCTTTTAGTTCTAATAGTTGAGCAGTCTACCCTTTGCACTTCTGGCTAGGCTATGTTAATTCTGGCAAAAGACCTTACATGCAGTTTGTCCTTCCCTTTGCAGATAAGGGAACTGAGACCCAGAGAGGAGAAAGGACTCCTTCAAGGGAAGTTAGTGATAGAACTAGGACTAGAACTCAGATGCTACTCCCAGTCCAGATCTTTCAACACAGCTTTCGTCAATAAATAAATAAAAAGAAAGAAGAAGAAGAAGAAAAAGATACTCCATCTCACCACTCTTGCTTTTGAGATAGAAAGAAATCCAGATTCCCAAAAGGTCAAGCTTACTATGCTAAGCTGGTTCCTAATGTGACAAAAATCGAAGAAACTGAACCTGTTAGATGGTACTGAGTTAAACCTGGGCTTCCTGAAGAGTCAGGTGGGCCTAGGTGTGTCTGAAAGTGAAGACGAGACTCTCCAGAGAGCAGAAACGGCGTAAGTAAAATTTGTCACCCAAGAGGAATTCCAATGGGAGTTAAGAAGGGAGTGGGTGGCCTAGGGTTTATGGAACAGCTCTTGGGTTGGCTAGATGAGTGCTCCGCGAGAGGAGAGTGACGGAAAAAGACTTCAGGAGGGAGTAGATATGGAAACAAGAGGTGATCCCGTACTGGAGATTGGGGCTCACCCCTTTCTCTCAGGTGCCGATGTAGATCCCGGATCAGACGGAAGGAAACCAAGCGTTGGGGGCCGCTGGAACTGCTGGAGCTGTCACCTCCCCCGTGCTTCTTCCCCAGCGCGGCCTCAAGCTCGGCCCGCAACTTTCGGGGCAGCTTCTCTGGCTCCAGCTCCCCGCCCGGCCCTAAAGCGCGTATCAATCGCTCGCCCGCCACCAAGGAAGACGCCATGTCTAGCCCACTCTAAGGTCAGGTGACCCGGAACAGGGACTTCCGGCCGCCTTGCGCCGGAAGTAGCTTGCCGCTCACGGGGCGGGGCTAGGCTGGGCATTGAGCCAAGGGGGTGGAGACGCGGCGCGGGGCAGTGTGGGGCGGGGGCGGAACGCCGCCCGGCCGCGGGTCGGGCCCTGTGTCAGCAGCCGAGCAGGCGCTCGGGCGGGACATGGCTGGCTGTGCAGCCCGGCGGGCCCTAGCCGTGGGCAGCCGCTGGTGGTCCCGGTCATTGACCGGGGCCCGGGGGCTGAGACCGCTCTGTGCAGCGGGTGGAGCCGGGGCCTTCCCGCCAGTGGCGACCACGACGACGCGGAGGCACCTCTCGTCCCGGTGAGGGACGGAGCGAGGGGGTGCGGGCGCTGGGCCTGGAGCCCAGGGAGCGTGTTCCCGGCCAGTGAGGAGGCCAGGGGGCTGGGCCGGCTGAGGGTGACTGGAGTTAGACGCGGGAGAGGGTCCCGCCGGAGCAGGGAGCCGACCTGCGCTGCCTGGGACGTGTGCCAGGAGCAGGGAAAGGAGCGCGGCCTAGAGCCCTGGCTGTGCAGGACTGGCTCTGAGGGGCTCTAGTAATCCTCTCCGAGCGAATCCTCCCTCCCTGGCTGGGGTCCCCAGCACCGCTGTCAGTGCACAGTCTTTTAATTCAACGCTAGCCCTTTTGACTTAAACCCTCAGCCTATGGGTTGGATCAAAGCCTCCTCCAGGAAGATGCTAAAGGTGGGAAACAACACTCCTGAGTGTGGATGCTCCTGGGTCCCAGGTTTCATTGTGACCTTGGGGAGACCGGTTTTCTTTATGTGACTTGGGGAAGGGGATTCGAGGCCACGGGATTGGTGTGAATAGTGTCTCTGTGGATGGGACAAGCAGATCAAATTGGGGCCGGTGGATCAGTGGTTGGCAACATGAAGTTCACATCTCCAAAACAGTAAAAATAACTTTTCTTTGAAGGGCCCCTAGAAAGAGCAGCCGTGTTCAGAGAGAGAACTGACAGAGCTGACCTTTTAGTGGCCGAGATTAAACACTGATATTGGGGAGAGATGATAGCTACTTGCAATTTAAGACACCTGTGATAGTGGATGTAAATCTTAACAAAAACTATATTGAGAGACTACTAGGTACAATGTAGGGAAGTACAGGAAGAAATCTAAAGATGATTAAGTCCTTCAAGGGTAGTGTAAGGACTATACTGTAGAGGGGGAGATGGACTTGGAATTATAATACAGGACAAATATATATATATATATATATATATATATATATATATTTTTTTTTTTTTTTTTGAGACAGAGTCTTGCTTTGTTGTCCAGGCTAGAGTGAGTGCTGTGGTGTCAGCCTAGCTCACAGCATCCTCAAACTCCTGGGCTCAAGCAATCCTGCTGTCTCAGCCGCCCAAGTAGCTGGGACTACAGGCATACGCCACCATGCCCGGCTAATTTTTTCTATATATATTAGTTAGCCAATTGATTTCTATTTATAGTAGAGATGGGGTCTCGGTGTTGCTCAGGCTGGTTTTGAACTCCTGACCTTTAGCAATCCGCCCACCTCGGCCTCCCAGAGTGCTAGGATTACAGGCGTGAGCCACTGTGCTCATGGACTGTGCTCGGCCAGGACAAATATTTTTTGAGCACCTCCGTACACTAGGCTATAAGAGGCAGCAGAGGCTAATCAGATACACACATTGCTCCCAGGGAACTTACAGTCTGTAATGGAGATAAGACATGGACATGCACAACTGAAATGCAAAGTGGGCAGAATAGTTAAAATGCTGTGGGAGGTCAGGAGGGTGGGTTAGGGAAGAAACAGGCAAGGGGTACATTTAAGCAGGGTGAGAGGGCATGATATGAGAAATGCTGAGTGAAGAGGGAAGAAAGTGATCTGGGAGCAGTCATATTTAATACTGGGAGGTCTTCACCGAGGAGGAGGAGAGGCAGAAGCTCTGTGTTGTGGTAGCCTGGCAGGACCCCTGTCTGCTGCAGCTGGCCCTACCACCCCAACCCTTCTCTGCTGTCTTTGCCCTGGCCCCTCAGGATCCTAGGAGCTTATTCTGATGGATAAGTTCCATTACCTTCTCAGCTTTTCAGTTGCTTGTTCTTTTCCTTCCTACTTAGAAACCGACCAGAGGGCAAAGTGTTGGAGACAGTTGGTGTGTTTGAGGTGCCAAAACAGAATGGAAAATATGAGACTGGGCAGGTGAGTGTTGGGCTGGGTCATCTTTCATTTTCACGGAGTGCTCTGCTTCTGAAAGGAGCCAGACTTCATCACAGGCTTGAATGGTATGGTTTTCCATTCATTCCACTTTGATGTTTGGTGCTCGACCAGAATCACAAATTTTTAAATATGGGGTTTCTTTTTTCCTAGATTTGAACACATTTAATGTGTCAGTGGGTTCTCTCCAAATTAATGTGGACAGGGATGGTTTGGACTATAGTGAAGAAAGAGCCAGGTTGCTGAGAGTTAGGATTCCTTTAACATAGTGGATGGTGGGAAGCCAGTGGAGGGAGCTTTCAGAAAAGTAAACCTTTGATGCTTTGTCATAATAAAACTGATTACAACGTGGTAAGCTCTGGGTGTGAGGCTCTTTTTCTATATCAGCTTTGTTCTCAGTCCACTGGAATAGATTTAGGATTCTGGTAGGTAAGGAAGACTTTTTGTTTATTCATCGTTTTGGTTTTTTTTGGTATGCCTACAATGGACCAAGCACTGTGCATTACGGTTAAATCAGAAAGCAAGGTAGACATGATTCCTGCCTTCATGGAGTTCACAGTCTAGAAAAGAATTAATGATATATAAATAGTTGATGGCTCTACACTGTGCTAGGTGAAGGGGAGGTTAAGAAAGGCTTCCTGAGGCCAGGCGTAGTGGCTCACACCTGTAATCTTAGCATACTGGGAGGCTGAGGTGGGAGGATCACTTGAACTCAGGAGTTCAAGACCAGCCTGAGCAAGAGCAAGACCTCGTCTGTACTAAAAATAGAAAAAATTAGCCGGGCATGGTGGTGCATGACTGTAGTCCTAGTTACTGGGGAGGCTCAGGCACGAGGATTGCTTGAGCACAGGAGTTTGAGGTTGCTGTGAGCTAGGCTGATGCCACAGTACTCACCTGGGCAACAGAGTGAGACTCTGTCTCAAAATTTAAAAAAAGGAAGGCTTCCTAGAGGCCAGAGCTTTGAACTAAAGGATGAATAGAGTCAGCCAGCTAAAGAAGGGATAAAGAGTGTTCTAGAGTTGGCCTGGGTTGATCACTGAGTTCGTGGGAACAGGTGGCAAGACCTTGTGCTGGAGATACCTTCACTGGAGTTGCTTTGTGGTCTGGGCCTCACTTGGGTGGACTTGCTGTACTGCAGACTCACTGAGGCCTCTCTTTCCTCTCAGCTTTTCCTTCATAGTGTTTTTGGCTACCGCGGTGTCGTCCTGTTTCCCTGGCAGGCCCGACTGTATGATCGGGATGTGGCTTCTGCAGCTCCAGAAAAGTAAGTTTCCCTGGCATTGTGCCTCACAGTATCCTCAGGAGGAGGCCTGACTCATGAAGACATACGTAATCGGAGTCCCAGGGGGGAAGACAGCACCCTCCTGGGCCTTGGAAACAGCTCCAGAGTACTTCTCTGGCAATAAAACTCATGGAGACAAAGTGCTGAGTGCCAGGGACAGTCTTAAGCCAGAGGGTCCCTTGAGGCCCTGCGCAGAATGCTCTTCCAAGCTACTCTCAGTTTTCATTATAAATACCCCAGAGGACATTTGGGGGACCAGTCTTCTTGATTTCTTGATGTTCAGTTGGAATCTTTCCCTTAATCTCACATCAACACTAGAGTACATTAAAAGGTCCAGCTCTATTAAATGTCACACATAGCCCCTGAGGTGTAAGAAGAGGAGGGTTGTCTGGGCCCTGGGGACTGACAATTTGATTTTCTCAAGTTGGCACCCTTCTTCCAAGAGGCATCTGGAGAGCTAAGACATGACTGTGTACCGTAGTTCCTCTGTGCGCCACTGTTTGCCCCTATCTGGGAAGTGGCTGGGCTGGGGTGTTGCTGAGCAGGTGCCCAGAAGTCCTAAAGCCCCTTCAGATCAGGGACCAGCCTGTGTAGGTGAGGAGATGGCAGGGAGCTGAGTCTGGCACAGCCTCCATTTCTCTCGGGGTGATCTTGGCCTTTTCCTCCCACCCCACAGAGCTGAGAACCCTGCCGGCCACGGCTCTAAGGAGGTGAAAGGCAAAACTCACACTTACTATCAGGTGCTGATTGATGCCCGTGACTGCCCACATATAGTAAGTAAGCAAGATGGCTGGGCCTGGGGGCGCTCTTCATAGAAAAAGCCTGTACCCCGATGGGCACAAAGGGAGGGAAAGGGTCAAACAGAACCCACATCAGCCCTGGGTCCCAAGGCCTTGCACAGTGATTAAGAAAGCCCTTGATTCACTTCTTGCCTTAGTCTCAGAGATCTCAGACAGAAGCTGTGACCTTCTTAGCCAACCATGATGACAGCCGGGCCCTCTATGCCATCCCCGGTGAGTAGTACCTGTTGAGAAGGGGTCTGTGTCTCTGGGAGAGGATTCTGATGTCCTGTCATTTGTTGGGAGGGATTATGATGCTGAGAGGTATAGTGCCAGGCTTACCCTCCACTGGGACGAGGCCAGGAAATGTTTGTTTTTAGCTCTGTTTCTCTCTTCTCCTGTGTGAATGTCACCGTCTCTTTGCCTCTGTGTGCCAGGCCTGGACTATGTCAGCCATGAAGACATCCTCCCCTACACCTCCACGGATCAGGTTCCCATCCAACATGAACTCTTTGAAAGATTTCTTCTATATGACCAGACAAAAGGTAATATCTTTTAAGAAGGGAAGCTGGAATGGAAGGGCCCTTTTTTCAAAGAGAATATCATAGAAATAATTCCAAAGCTCTATTTCCACATCCCTTTTCAACCTCCCATTAGGCCTGTCAGGTGGATGGCTATTATCTCCTTACAGATATGGAAACTGAGGCTCAGGGATGCTGAGAAGTTACTTCAAGGTTGTTGGTAGCAGAGCGAGGTCTGGAAACCAGGTCTCTTAACTCCCAGACCAGTTCTCTTCCCATGATATCGCACTGCTCGTGCCTCCTCAGGGCTGATTCTTGGCAGCATTTCTGTTCCTTTTTCCAGCCTGTACTTTTGTTTCACATGTGGGCATCACATTCAACTGGGCCACCACTGGGAAGGATTTTCTAGGAAGGGTGGTTGGAGAGTGGGTGCAACACCCTGCACTCTGGCCTGGACTAACCCGTTGTCTCTTGCCCTAGCACCCCCTTTTGTGGCTCGGGAGACGCTACGGGCCTGGCAAGAGAAGAATCATCCCTGGCTAGAGCTCTCTGATGTCCACCGGGAAACAACGGAGAACATCCGTGTCACTGTCATCCCCTTCTACATGGGCATGAGGGTATGTGCCCAGCCTGGCCTCTTCCCACAGGGCTAGGCCCCAGTTTCTGTGTGCTATCTCCATTGTGACTGCTGGGAGAGGGAGGGTTCTAAATTTAAACCTTGTCCCTGCCTTCCAGGAGCTCATGGTAGTCAGGAAGGCCAACATAAAGTGTTGCTGGAAAGGGGGGCGAGGCGGACACAGAGGAGAGGACAGGTGGCGGGACTGGTGAGGAGGGTGAGAAAGGTCAGACCCCCTGTAGCTGATTATCTGGGCATCCAGCTCTGCTGTTGATCTTGACAGGATGAGGAGAAGGGGATGGACGTGGCAGCCTGCAGCCTCTGGGCTTGTGGGCCACAGCTCAGTCATCATCCTTGTCCCACAGATATTCTTTTTTTTTTTTTTTGAGACAGAGTCTCGCTTTGTTGCCCAGGCTAGAGTGAGTGCCGTGGCGTCAGCCTAGCTCACAGCAACCTCAATCTCCTGGGCTCAAGCGATCCTACTGCCTCAGCCTCCCAAGTACCTGGGACTACAGGCATTCACCACCATGCCCGGCTGATTTTTTCTATATATATTAGTTGGCCAATTAATTTCTTTCTATTTATAGTAGAGACAGGGTCTTGTGCTTGTTCAGGCTGGTTTTGAACTCCTGACCTTGAGCAATCCGCCCGCCTCGGCCTCCTAGAGTACTAGGATTACAGGCAGGCGTGAGCCGCTGCACCCGGCCTGTCCCAGAGATATTCTATCTGTGCGACCTTCCTGGAATATGTGTACTCCATTGGAGAGATGTTGATTGGAACAGACTTAGTCTCGCCCTCTGGGACTTAAATCTTTGTGTTTTTTCCCCAGGAAGCCCAGAATTCCCATGTCTACTGGGTGAGTGTCTCCCTCAGGGGAGAGGGGAGCTCAGGAGGTGTGCCTGGGGGTCAGGCTGGAGGTGAGGGAGCTTACCTGCTGGCGGGGTGCAGCCTGTGCAGTGCGGGTGTCAGCCTTTGGTGCCTTTCTCTCTGCACAGAGTTCTGGGTGGCTGGCCCAAGGTCTGTCCTTTCTTAAACACACATCTCTTCTCCATACCATCACAGTGGCGCTACTGCATCCGCTTGGAGAACCTCGACAGTGACGTGGTACAGCTCCGGGAGCGGCACTGGAGGATATTCAGTCTCTCTGGCACCTTGGAGACAGTGCGAGGCCGAGGGGTAGTGGGCAGGGTGAGCATCACTGGGCCACTAATGCCTGGTTGCTGGTCCTGCCCAGCAGGCCTGGGGGCTTGGCGCATGCTTTCCTCTTCCTGTGTGACTACAGACAGAGGCACACTCTGTGACCACATTGGGTTGCTTTGGATTACAGATCCTACAACAACCCATTTCACAGATGAAGAGAATGAGCCTGAGAAGTTAAATACTAACATGTGGTCCCACAGCTAGTATTGGCAGGGGCTGGATTTAAACCCTAGTGAGTCTGAAGTCCAAGTTTTCATTGTCTGGCATAATGTCTTAAAAACCTGAATTTGAGTGCCCTTAGGTGGGGCATGCATCTCCCACCACTCCCCATGGTCTTGCCTCTGGCTCATTTTACATGTGTACATCCTTTGCTGGGCCTGAAGAGCTTTTATATTCCCTGCCTACCCCATGCTGCCTCCTGAGAACTAAAGTCACAAGTAGTACTGGTTCCTCAGGCCACATTCAACAAGCATTTGTCCAAGTCAGAGAGGACTTGGGGAAGCAGCGTGGCAAAGTGTAAGAACAGTGCTTTGGAATTAAGTAGTCTGGCTTCAAATTCCAGATGTGTCATAACTGCATAACTTTGGGCAAGTTATTTAACCAAAATCTGTTTCTTACTGTTAAAATGAGGAGCATACCTATTACCTTATGATGGCCAGGAGAATTAAATCAGCAAGTTTGCAGTGTACCTGTCACGGTGCCTGGCACTTAGCGCTTGTGAATGGAATTTATGGACTAGCTCCTGTGTCCAGCGTCTTTGCGTGGTGCCCTCAGACATTCGGTCTGAGATTCCTTCCCAGTCAGGATAAAGGGCCCACACCAGTGGCCATGCTGTGGGCAGAGGTACTGGCAGTCATTGTTGTGGCAGTGCCTGCTGTGTGGTGACTGGGGGGGGGGGACAGTCAGTCCTGATGAACTGGCAGTCAGTATGTGGCTCCAGGTTGCAGGGACCATGTCCCTGAGGCTTGGCCTGACCCATTTTGCCTGAATCCTTACAGGAACCAGTATTATCCAAGGAGCAACCAGCGTTCCAGTACAGCAGCCACGTCTCCCTGCAAGCTTCTAGTGGGCACATGTGGTAAGTGAGCGTGTGCTGTGGCAGGGGCCACTTGATTCCACAGACACAGGCTGCAGGGCAAAAAAGTGAGAGCTCATAGCAAGCTCATGGCCAGCAGTTAATGCTGGGCCTAGTTAAGTTCTGAGATGGAGCCTTATCTGCTATTCATTGTGTGGGGCTTGTCTTATTTTTTATTACTGCCTTTTCCCCAGTTCCCTATTTGTGGACTGAAGACTTAGACCAGAGGTCTGGTGATTTGATGTGGTAGAGTTGCTCACGTAGTTGGGGTTTTTTCCGTGGTATTTAACTCTTTAACCTGAAAGTACAGCTGGGTAGCTTATGCAGTGTGCATCTAAAGGCCAGTCTGGACAGCTGTTTCTTCTTTTCACGTGGGGCCAAGACGGGCTTTCGGGTCTCTGGACCAATCATCCCATCATGAGTTTGACAGAAGAGAGCCCAGGCTGGCCTCATCCTCTGTGGCTCTGGAGCTGGGGAAATAGACCCATCCTGATCTTCAGGAGGGCTCAGCCCTGACTCCCTCTAAACTAGCTTCTCTCTGATCCACAGGGGCACGTTCCGCTTTGAGAGACCTGATGGCTCCCACTTTGATGTCCGGATCCCTCCCTTCTCCCTGGAAAGCAATAAAGATGAGAAGACACCACCCTCAGGCCTTCACTGGTAGGCCAGCTGAGGCTGAGTGCCCAGGCCTGGCCCTACGGAGAACAGCTGTCATACCACAATTGCTGCAGAACTCTTTTCTCCTCATCATGAGCCACAGTGGGTCTCTTAATTTGATTGTGGGGTCCTTTTTTGGGGGAGGGGCGGTGTAACTTTTCTTCAGAAGACCCATGTAGGACTCCTCCAAGGATGGCCTCATAACTCTTGCCTACACCGTGTTCCAGTAAACCTTTCACCAAGGAACTGTGTTCAGCTGCCACAGGCCTGGAGGATCTTGGCCTGTCATACAAGTTGTCTGGAATGTGAGGTTTGGTCAATAAACCTGTGCACGCTTGGCCACGCTCGCCATTTCTGCCCAAGTCGCAGGCTCTTTCTACTCCAGTGGGGGCCCTTGATTGCTCTCTGTGCAGCTCTTCCAGAGAGCTGCCCCTCTGCTAGGATGTGTGCCTGTTTCCCTCAGCCTGGAGGCTGGCTGGACACCTCCCAGGGTCACTGTGCCTCTCAGCCGGTGGGTGATACTCGACTGGACTCTCGTGTTCTCTCTTTCACTGCCAAGTGCAGAGAGGGAGGCCAGTGTCAGCATCAGAGTGGCCTGGCTCTTAGTACTGACCAGCCATTGTCATCTTTGGCCTCGCTGGGCCTGGGAGAGGAGTGAAGCAAGCCAGCTGGGTTTCTTGGAGCAATGGGCTTGCCAGCCACGAGTCTGTCGAGCATCCAGACCACAAATGCAGGAATTCGGCCAAGGAACAGCTTTAGGTATGGACGGTGACTAAGCCAAGCTACTCCTGACCTGCTCAGATATCTAAGAGCCAGAAGTGAATTGTGCTGCATTTTGCCCTAATTCTTAGGATTCTTTCTGCCCCACCACTGCAGTGATTGCTAGAGGTCATTTTATTCTTGAACTAGTATTAAATCTCAGTTCCAGCCCTTGTTAGTGTTGTCCTTAATCCTCCACCAGGGGGAGTTTGAGTTGCAGGGCAAGGTCGCATGACCGAGCTGGGACACAAGGTCAGGTGGCGGACAGAAGTACAGGAACTGAGCCTGGAGCAGCGAGCTGGCCGAACCCTACTCAGAGTAAACATGGATCTGTGCCATTGCAGTGTAACACAATTTTATTAGAAATTAGTGTTTACTTCCAGCACTTACGCTGAGCAACAAAGTATTGCGGTTATGTGATAAAGGAAAACTTCTCATGCCCAGGACTGGTGCCATCCTACAGGCCGACCTCGGTCACATACCAGATTCAATAAAACCCAACACCAGTCTGTGCTGTTGACACCAGGCTTCCAGTTTTCTCAGAAACTGATAAGAAAGTCTGACCTTCACACTTTTTGTTTACATAGCCAAGAGCTGCTTCTGAATGGGGCCAGGAAACTTTCAAAGAAAATTCCCCCAAGCCCTTAAGCCACAAAGTCTGATAGAGAAGCCAAGATCACTTCAGTGAGTTCAGTATTAGTAGTTTCCTGAAGACCAAGGAGATATTTTCAGTCAGGGAAGATAAATGCCCAGTCCCAGACACCTGTGCTTTCTCAGGAAGACAGACCAGTCACCACTAAGCCAGCCGAGGATCTAAATGGCAAAGCAGTAAGTAGAGGCTGGTGGGGGGAGGTCAAAGGGCAAGCATGAAAATACCTCAGTGGGGAGCTGGGAATTTCAGTATTAAAGGGCTTCGGGAGGGCAGCTGAGAAAATAGGCCAGTGACCTCAGGCTGAAACATTCCAGTCTCTGTGGGAAGGCCACAAAGCCAAACCCTGACTTGGCCACATAAATTTGTCTTCATCTTGTTACCCCAGTGAGGGCTAGAAGAACTAGTAGCCCATCACCAAGGTACCTGACCTGAGAGTCTTAGAGCTATGTATACATTCAAGATTGCGACTAACATGTAAAATGCCTGATTAAAGTCACATGTCCTCTGCCATCCTGTCACTTCAGGTCCTTGCGAGTGTCTAACCCTGGGCCTGGCACTTGCCCATGGACTCTGGGGTCAGCTGTGAGCAGTTACTTAGCTATCATAAGAGTCACTGAGAGGGATGAACTTGATAACCCACATCCCTTCCTGGGAGAGTGGACACTATCTGTGGTTGTGCTGCTTTGCTAGACTGGCAGAACAGCCCCTCCCTGACGGCATTCCTTTGGAAAGAATTCAGATAAGCTGCTTCCCAAGGGCCAAGCCAAGCAAAAGAAGGGAATGAAAACCAAAGCCCTAAAGAGGAGCTTACCTTTGCTGATGCCTGGCATCTCCATGGCTAAGCTACTCAAAGGAATGGAGGTCTTGTAGGGGCTTGGGTTGCTCTCATCATTCTGTGTTCAGAGACTCACCACTGGGCAGAACCACCAACCCCAGCCAGGACGCAGACCAACAGCACAGATAGAGCAGGGTGGGAGATACATGGCCAAGCACATGCCACCTCTTCACAGGAGCCGCTAGGAGCACAGGGTGCCGAGGTCACTGTCCTCGGCTGATGGTCATGCCAGGCAGCACTATGCAGTGTCTGGGCTCCACAGCCTAACCCTCGGCTTGCGTTTCTGGTGTGAAGTAGCTCCTATAGCCTGTGACAGCTCTTTGGCTTTGTAGTATGTAAGGACATGCCTCAGAGCCAAGGGCACTCAAAGACGAGTGAAGTAAAAAAAAGCAATCATGTTAGACCCTAGGAGCCAGTTATGTGACTCTAACATGCAGGGGTAAAGTGTCTTTTCTCACAGCGACCCTATTAGGACCAGAAGTCCCAACTTAGCATCCTCCCCTCCTCAGTGCTCTGTGGGCTGGCTGTGTGGCCCGGCTGCCAAAGCCAAGGCCAGTCTCTATTTTTATTGCTTTGTCTTCATCCCCTCCCTCAGATTGGTTCTGCAGGGACCAAGGGATGAGGGTCGGAAAAGATGTGGGTCAGGGCAGAATACAAATCTCCTGCATAACAGTACAAAGTGCTTTAAAGACAGATCCCAAAGGCATGGAGAAGGCCAAGGGTTCTGTCACAGCAGGGTCTTGGCACCCTGGAGGGCAACTGAAATGCCCAATCCCCTCATCATTAGACTTAAAACTATTTGTTTCCTAGATTATTTTAAAAAAACCAAACTTGTCAAGCATGTGCTTAAAGACCTTAGAAAAAAGAAGCCCTACCTTCTGTTAAAAATACAGCACCAGTAGCTGCCCTTTCCGTTAGCCACGGCCTCGGCTAAGGCCTCAGGGGTAGTAGGCCTTTGGCAGAGGAAGGGGGCGCTCAGCAAAGGGCCTGGGGGAATGTTCTTAGCAGAACTCACCCCAGAGCAGAAGCGGCTTCCTGTCAGGCAGGAAGGGAGAGGCTGAGCAAGTGGGACAGGGCTCAGCCATCTGGAAGTGCCCAGAGGCAGGGCAAAGGAATGCGGTCCCTCCCCTGCCCAGGCCCTCTGACATCCCAGCAGGGCCTGTCATGCCTCTGGGTGCTGGAGCAGAGACCCAGCTAGCAGCAGCACGGGGTGGCCAATGGGGTGGGCTTCCACAGGACGGGAGATGAGGCCTCCTGTGCCCCGACTTCGAGGGTCTTGTCAGTCGCGATGGGCAGACTGGTGGCTGAGCTGCCGGTCATCGTATGTGCTATAGCGTTTGACGTGGATGCGGCGGACACGGTCCCGCAGTTCAAAGCTCTCCTCATCTTCACTGGGGGAGGCCTGGCTGCGGCTACGGCTTGTGGCCTCCAACAAGGAGTTGTCAGGGACGCGGGGAGTCTCGTACAGTAGGACATTGAGTGTTTCCTCATAGATTCGGGCCTCTGGGAACTCCACCTGGGGTGAGGGGGACAAGAGGACCGAGTGAGGTTTCATCCCAGAGAGGGAGCAGCACGTCAGCGGTCTTGGCCCTGTGCCGCCTCCACAAGGCTTCCTGACTCTCCCGCAAGAGAGTCTGTCTTGAGGGAGGGCAGGCCTCCCTCGGAAGGAGGTGTTGAGGGGAGGCACTCTACAGACATAAGGATACAGAAGACAACCCCTTCCCCTGCCCACAGCCCAAGATCGATGGGCCAGCAGGCAAAGGGGGCGGCTGTGGCCTTGTGGCCAGGCCTAGGGCCAAACACAACTCCACGACTCCTAGCTGTGGGGCCTCCAGCTTAACCTTTCTGGGCTGCAGTTTCCATGTGTGTAAAATGACGGTTCACATCTACCTCTGAGAGTTGTTGACATTACAGGAAAGATATAAATTGCTTAGCAGAGAGCCTGACACACAGTACACAACCAAATACATGACTGAAAGCGGCTGCTCTCAGGAGAGGTTCTATTGCTTCTTTCTGCGTGCCTGACCCAGTGCCCTGCCCTCAAGACAGTCTGGAGGAAAGAAAAAAGGGGTGGTGATCGAGGCACCTGCATTCTAGCCTAACCTTCAACCTGGAGTCTGCTCCCTCACCTGTCAAATGGGGAGAATGGCTCCAGCCCTGCCTGGCTTGCAGGTGTAGAAGTGAGGGGTCAAAGAGCTCATGAAAGAGAAAATACTTAGGAAGGTGACAGGTGCTGTTACCACAGAGAACCACCCTAGAATCCCTTCTCCACCAATATGTTCTGGAGCCTCCTTCCCACAACCACCAAAAACGGCAGGAGGAAGCAGGGCCACCAGTAAGCTGTCCTTTCCCGACCGGCAGCTGATCTCCCAGCCAAGGCACTTCAGCAGTCGGGGGCCCAAGGAGGTGTTCAACGAGCCTGGCTACGGCTACGTGAGTCCCCCCTTGAGCTGCCGTCCCACCCCAGCAAAGCCCTGCTGGCTCCAAGACATATACCCGTGGGAGGAAGCCACTGTGTGGGGAGGACACCTTCTGTTGCAGCCTGGGAGAACAAGGTAGCTGAGTTTGTGTTAACCATCACCTACCAGATGCCTCACGCGTGCCCGGTAGTGGTTAAGTTGACTGACCAGAACACCTAACAGGCGGGGGCCAGAGAGGAGATCTGAACAGCAGCCTGTCTTCCCCCGAAGCCCGAGCTATTTCCACTGCGCCACACTGCTCCTCCTAAGAGCGCTCTCATTTTTATAATATTTCTGTTAAGCTCATATTATCATTCCCATGTCTGCAAATGAGGAAACTGAGGGCTGGGTGGTTAAATAAATGGCTTAGCCAAAGTTAGAAAGTGGTGAAACCAGAATTCAGACCCGAACCATGCCTCCCCCCTACACCAGGCTGTCCCCTGCTGGTCAATGCGGCCCCTGCTCTTCAGCTGCCAGGAACAAATGGTTTCTGTCCATTCCCCAAGCCCCGTGTTCTGGCTTGGTGCTTGCCTAGCACGCCCCCGGCATGTTTGGAAAAGAGCCAAACACAAGTCCCTTTTGCTCCTTGTGGGGAAAGGCTCTGCCGGGGCCGCACTGGTCATGCCCTGACCACTCCTGTGTGTCCTCCCCACCCACGCAGCGTTAAGGCCCCCACACCTTGGTCTGCTTCTTCTCCGTGGCATACACGATGGAAGTGCAGCACACCTCTGCCAGCTTGCGACCCTGGCCATAGAAAGACCAGCAGCAGATCTCATCACCGATCACGTCCTTGATGAAGAGCACTCGGCCATTGAAGCGCAAGGAGAGCTTGTCAAACAGCTCAATGTTCTTCAGCAGGTGGTCGTCGGAGTTGCTGAAAAACCCACAAAGGCCAGCAGGCCTGGGAATGAGGCTCCAGCACCAGGGAGGATGCCAGGGCAAGCTGGGCCTTCCCCTCCCCTGTCCTGCTGCAGTGAACCCAGGATGCCCGGGAGCCAGGAAGAGAAAGGGTCACGGGGCACCCTCTGGGTTCAGGGGACCGTGAGGAAAAGGAATTGAGTTGGTTGTAAGTACAAGCAGAGAGAACTGAGGAAAAGTGGTCTCCTTGCACTAAGCCCAGAAGGAAGGAGGCACGTTGCTATTTCAACAGGAGGTGTTCCTTCCCTTGCTGTGGGGGTGACAGTGGCAACGCGCCTGTCCACGGGGAGTCACGGGGAGGTTTGGG